CGGTAGCGACTGTAGGAGCGGACGTAAACTAACCAGGATGGTACCCAGGCTAAGTCTGACAGTGAGGCATTCCCATTACAATATAGTACACACCATTATGAACGATAAACACAAAATGTACCAAAATTTTGTAGAAATTGACAAAGAAAGGAACTACATGTATTCCCAGTCTTGTATATTTTTTTATTATAGCCCCTTTTTAAAAGGGGAATTTTATAGTGTGATGGGACTGCACTTGTGCATCATTGCATTCATTCTTCAGCTGTAAGTAAGGCGATAGATACATGTTGATATTCACATTGTTCATACAGCCAAAAAAAAAGAAATGTCCACATACAACATGCACTTCCACATAGTACATTTGCACCAAATTCTTTAAAAGGATCTTGTATACATGTGTGTTTGAAATGTGATATCAGTAATAAGCACACACCAATGTAGTTTGTTACAGTACATTTTGTAGTTCTTGGGTTTTATCAGGATAATGCTGAACAGAAACATCAACATGAAAACTGATTCTGAGGAGAAACTCTTAAGCGAGTGAATATAACAGAATTTAATTTTCCTTCCAGCCTTGTGATTCCATCTTGAGTTCTTATTTTTATTACATTTTAATTCAGTTGCAACGAGGCAATACAATGGCCAGCCAGGCAGCATGGCTGATATCGGGTGCAGAAAGATACACAAATTAAACATACACAATATAACATACTAATAGGCTAACAAGTACCACAATATCAATATGAACTTTCTAACAGACTTAAGTACAATTCAAAGAAGATCTTGAGTTCTTGCTTGACTCGTACACATACATGTATTACTGCTTGCCCAAGAAACAAAGAAGTAAGTTATTGTGGCCTAACATGGCATCACGTGCTGACCGATGTCTTTTCTATTTTTCCGCAGTGATGACGAGGGTAAGGACTACCACGACAAGCGGCCCGAGCCATTCCGTTTCCCCTTCACGGGGGTGGCCATACTGTATGGCTCCCAGTCCAAAATGCCCGGCATGGAGGATCCTCAGCCGCGGTCCAAACGGGCCAAGTCCAGCAAGGCCGCCCTGCCGCCCAAGTTTGACGTGACGTACCAAGCCGGCGGCAGGAGCCGGAACCCTCCCAACGTCCACCCGCCGCCGCCGCCGATGGATCCCAGATATCCCCCCAACCCCCCCGCGCCAGCAATGGCACATTCCTTTTACGAGCCTCCGAGGAATGGACACAGAAGCGAGAACGGAGTATATCCCCAGGCCGTGTACACTCACACGGACACACCCTACCCCGACACTGTCAGCAGGAGAGACGCCCTTCCGGAGAGATACACCTCCGAGTTTGCCAAATTTGCCAACGAGGAAGGAAACCTCTTTAGCACTGATGGCAACAAGTACTGGAACGACTCTCAGTATAGTCCAGCTGTAGATACACATTCTCGCTCCATGTATCAAGGCGGTGGGTATGAACATGTCCATGGCAATGATTATGACAGTAGGTACCAGGGAGACGTCAGTCTCTCTTACCCTTCTAATCTCCTGACTTCTGCATTGCTCACTGCAGAGAGTGAGGCCCCGCTCCGTTATGACGAAATCATCGACGTTAACTCGCGGGAAACAAAGATCGCTAAGATCGACGCAAACGGCTACGGCGAGCGACCGACAAACAGCGTGCTATTTTCGGGGGAGATGATCCTGCACACGACGACGGACGCCAGGATTCCGCCGTACTCGTCGTCCGTGACGCTGTCGGATCTGTCGGCGCCCAACCACAACAACCACATCAGCCCTGACCCGCTGCACGCTGCAGAGTGGCTGTCGGCAGGGAGGGGCATGAACCATGTGGCCCACGGGCACACGGCCTGCCCTGGGTACACACTAGGGGAACTCCCCTACATGAGCGGGGCCACACAACGCTTATCTCACCTGCCGCCCAATCCACAGATAGACATACCACAGGTAAGGGCACTGGTTTACTGGAAAATTAAATGACATGTATAGGACAGTCTATCGAAGTCTATAATTAAATGTAGAGTCAAGACAGGAAAACAGATTATTTCCTTCCACTTTTTTCCAACATGTCAATCTACACAAAACAGAAACCATTCAAGATATGTACATATTAATAGGATTCAGATTTTAAATCAGTTGTGTTCTAAAACTAGAGTTCCACGATATCATACCTAATTACCTTTGCCAAATCTTAACCTTCACGACTAGTCGACTGACAAACTATTAAGTTTCTCATTACCTTCGCCAAGAATTGACGAAGGTTAATAATATGTTTTGCTGGCCATGTGTCTGTGTGTGTGTGGCAACAGCATAACTCGAGAAAGATTAGATGGATTATCTTGATATTAAGTAGGTGGGTAGGTCTTGATGAGACCTGGAAATGATTAGATTTTGGACCCCCTAGTGGCTTGTTATGGTACTGCAGCTGAACTTCCGGTTTTGATATCTCATGATCTAATGCTGGGGTGACGAAATTTGTATGGTAGGTAGGTCTTTTGGGTGAGTTTGGGCACCCTAGTGGCTTGCTCAGAAACTGCAGGGCTATCTGTTTGTAAATATTCAGAAGAGGATAACTCTTGGAACCGGTGGACGGATCGTCGTGATTTTTGGTATGTAGGTAGCTTAAGTGACGCTTGACATAATTATGCGACAATTATGCAAATCTGGGTGTCATTTGCATAATTAATGGCGAAATTCTATAAATCAGCTGCATTACATTATAGGACTATTCAAGCTTGTGACATATGTAATTGAGAATGAGAGAAACACAGGCAGATATTGATTATGTAAATTAACACTTAATTTGCATAATTAATGAGAAAATGTTATAATTCCATAATGCTAACTGCCTGGAATTTCATACTTGGGGTATTTGAATGTAAAGTGAAGGTGAACATCATTAAACATAACTTCTTCAAATAAGGACCTCATTAGCATAATTTATGAGGAAATGATAGAATGGCTTTCTTTGTTAAGACAAGGCTGTCTTTTGATGGAGAATATGATCAACTGATATAATTCATGCAAATGAGGATCCTATTTGCATAATCAGAAGGAATCATCTTTGTCAGTCATAAAGATCAACATCATTTGGCGAAGGTATGAGATCGTGGGACTCTAGTTCCTTATGAAATGAAATCCTCATTTGCATAAATTATGTCATCTGTTAATCCCAATCTCCATCCAAAGTCAGTGTTATTTATAACAAAGAATGCCATTCTAGCATCATTTCCTCTTAAATTATGCAAATGAGGCCCTTGTTTGAATAAGTTATGCTTAATGATGCCAACCTTCAACTCCAAATGCAGGAAGTATAAATTGCTGGCAGTTCCCACTATGAAATTATTATAGCATTAATCATGCAAATTAGGTTTCGTTTACATAATTAGTTAACGAACGTAATTAAATAATCCGTAGCAACTTCTGTCCAGGAAGATGATCAATGCCTTGTCTTGCTACATGTAGATGTCATGTAAAGCCAGCAAAATATCACACATGTGACGCCAGTATTTGCTAGCAAATGCAGGAATTTCACTCCTGTCAGTCCTGTGTATTATCAAAGGTATTTTCTTTTCCCGTGTCTTCCCTGTGAAAATGTACTGTTCCAAAATCACCACCACACCAATATAAGTTGTTTCTCGGATTTGTCCTGTCCATTTTTTCTGATTTGCAAAAAGAGAAAATTTTTTTGTTCTAAATCAACAGCAAAATGCTCAATGAAAGACATGTTTTGGCCCCAACGGTTGAAGAAAGTCCTTTTCCTCCTAGTTGTTAAAGTTTTTCAATGTAACAATGCAACCTCATTTCATTAAAAGTGTCAAAATCTATTGTATACCAGCTAATATATACCAGCTTGGTATGTTTGGCTTCATGGCTCATTTCATAACATTTCCGGCCTTAATGGGGTGCCTTGGCCTGTTTTTTATATTTTATTTCACCCCGTTACTTCATATTTTTTCTGAAAAATATTTGAGAAACAACAAATTGAATTGGTGTGGCCATACCATGGACTACGGAGGATGGCACTCAGGTTTGAGCCTCAGAGGAAGTGATTGATGAACAGGCGATAATCGATGTGCGTATGGATGTCATCCTTAAAATTGGCTGAGTGTGGCCTTAGTGAACACAGCTGCCATGTTCACTGTGTGACATCAAGGATGGTATTTAATTGAATTACCTTATAGCAGAAATAAAAAAACTGTACAAATTATTCGTAGGATTGGATCAGATGGTCTCTTACATTGGAATGATGTGTTCTTCATTGTGTAGTACAGACTAGCATGGTTGAGTGTTATCAGGTACATGTAGTGTATATACATGTAAATGTTGTATGTTAGTACCATTGGTGACAATGGCACTTCAATTTAAGGACATGTATGTCTGTACAGATTACATATTATGATGTTACAGGTTATATTTCCTCTGTTTCTTCAGCCAGGGATGATAGCAACAGTTAAATCTGAGAGGACAGACTCACCAGAGGAGCTGGGTCAGACCAACCATGTGGCAGGGCCGCTCCTCTCCTTCTCCAAAGTAGCCAACACTCTGCTGGACAGCTGAGGTACAGCAGACACAGCACCACAGGAGTGGGTTTATCAGTTCTAGACAGCACCAGTATATCAGTGTCATTCAATGACAACTTGTCCTTTGTGTGATGTTTATATGAACTAGTCCCTACCTCAGAGGTAGGTTGAACTGGTTTCTTGTCCACCTCTCCATGACAGGTAAGGCATGCAGATGTCTCTTCATTTTTGAGATTTGACAAAGCAAAAAAACAGTGACAATTATTCAGTTACCGGTAATGTACAGCCATGTATATGGGCAAAGTTAGATATACAGTACATGTAGTTTGCAGCCTTGATAGGCTAGTATGTAGTAGTCTTATGGCTTTCTAAATGATGTCTTTATGGTAAAGGTTGTGCCGTGAAGTGCCTGGCATCTTTGTTCCTCGTTGTTGGGCTTTTAGCTTTCTCTTTTATAAAATCCATGTACAGATGATGAATAATCAACGTGTATATGTACAGCACAAGTATCAAATGTTTCTGCCTCATACAGAGTTCTACGTGTATCAGGCTGCCTCTTGCCACTCAGATATAATGCACATGTACAGATGAAGTTCATTCTTATATACAATGCAGTTGTTTTTACCCACATGTAACATCTGTGTCCATAATATCACCAGGGTCCATAATATCGCCACCTTGAGAAATAGTGTGCTTAAAGATATTTTTACTGCAACACACTTTTGGTATGCACTCCTTCATACATCAAATGTACATACTTAGGGTGTGTTGCAGTAAAAATATCTTTAAGCACACTGTTTCTCAAGGTGGCGATATTATGGACCCTGGTGATATTATGGACACAGATGTTACATGTAGGTTACAGAGTTGTAGAGGTCATTAGGTTGACTGGCAGCTTGTAGTTTGATACAAGAGTGGTCAGTACTGTGTAAGCCATTCAAAGATGCTGAATAAAAGACTCTTTTTCACACAACAAAGTGTTTTATTCAGCTGACGTTTTGGTGACCATCTGTCACCTTCCTCAGTGTAATTCTGACTAGTTCACATCGCAAATGTGTTCCCAAACGCACAGTATTTGGGAACCCATCTATAAGCAGCAACACCTGTGCTGCTGTGCAATGTGAACTAGTCAGAATTACCCTGAGGAAGGTAACAGGTCAAAACGACCAAAACGTCAGCTGAATAAAACAGTTTGTTGCGTGAAAAAAGTGACGTACTAACGTGATGAACAGCTGGTATCACAGATTAAAAGAATTTCTTCCCTGCCAGGAAAGTCTTGCATACAAAGTACAAACTACACTAATGTGAATTACAGTACATGTATTAAGCATACGTAGCTTATGTTCTCTGTGCAACAGTACAAGTAGCATGTTAATGTAATCTGGGGAAAGCCATGATGTCTATATAATACAAATACTGGTGTTCTCTCCTACATGTAACAGCGTCAACAGTTTCACAGCAATTCCAGTTGTCCAGGTCTTCAAAATTCTATTGAAATTGTTGCACACAGTTTGTCACTCTGCCATCCCTGTACATGTACATAACCTACATAGCAAAGCCAGGGTTCCAAATGATGGTCCTGCATGTCTGCATGAAACCCATCATGAAGTGAGTCACAGCAGAACGTTTCTAAATTTTCACAAGGACATTATACACACAATGTCCTTGATTTTCAGAATTACATCTTAAAATTTCCATCTGTTTGTAAAGCACCGTTTCCCCTCACCACTGTCGACATCTATTGTTGTCAAGGACCACTCACTTGTCTTTGTGAAAAATCTGCATAATCTCTGAACATGTAATTTGCTTGCAAAAATGTACAAATCCGATGTGAAACCGTAGCAGCAATATTGGAGCCTTTGGCCCTGGGTTGTGACTTTGACAAAGTAGTAACACTTGTAATAATGTAGTACAAGTCAGTGGTACCTTTTGATTGCAACATAAAGTCATCATCAGTGCTCACAGGTGATTCATTTTTGTACAAATACATGTATGAGTTTGATTTGCACAGATTTGATGTGCATGTCATGTCAGATATCCACAGAAAAATAGCACAAAAAAGTCTCAAAATCATTCAAACTTTTACCTGTATCTAATTTTACCCTGGATATGTTTCATGTGCAGCTACATGTTTGAGCGAGTTTTTTTTCTTTCTACCATTAACAAATGTCACCTTGTATCTTTGTCCCTCTGTGGCCAGCCTTATTTAGATCTGACACAATTGCTGATTGTGTAAAAAAAGAATCAGAATACCAAATTTGGTAAATCTATTGTGATTATATATTACTAGAATTGTACTAGAGGATATGTGTGGTCTTGTTTTAGAGCTGAAGCAGCCATAAGTAAGCAGTCCTGACAATCAGATCAGAATTATTGCAGTAACTTTTGTAAAAAAAAAATGTATTTTAGGTACTTGTAATGAAAAAAAATGCATAATTAACTCTGCTGAAGCAAGCAAAAATCTTGAATGTTCTCATTGCCTCAAATTGTTCTGATTGGATAGTGTTTGTAACCAATCACAAGATTGGACTCAGCCTACCAATCAGAAATATGAACAGTAAACTCTTACCTGGACAATCAACCAGTGACAACATGCTAAGCTTCGTGGTAACTTATCTCGAATCAGTACATACAAATTGAATGATGAACTATATATTATCATAATATTAATAATTATGATAAAATCTATGTTCAATTGGTAGTCATCAAATGTCATTTGAATACAAATTGTTTATTACCTGAAATCTAGATGAGATCTTTCAAATAACTCGGAGGCAGAGCTACATATAACTAGAGATAATGTGTATAATGTTCGCTATTGTACATAGTCCAGTGTGGCTCTGGCTGTGCTTATTGTTAATGTGGATCATGGAGGTATCTCCGTGTGTACATTAATTGTTTTCTCCTGCCCATGATGTTGTGGTTCATTTCCAACATGCTTCCTGACTGAGCTCTGCTACAGGCACAGTACACACAGGAATCAGTAAGAAACAAGCCCTGGGATTTTGATGTAATATTGTCTTTTCCCAATGTGACTAATGCCTCTTGCAAAAGATTGAGATTCTCCTGTCTATGTTTGGATTTTTGTTAGGTGTATTTTACTACAGGTACGTCTTGTAAACAGTTACAAATGTACATGTTGGCATTTATAGTACATTGGTCAAACAGTCTAAAAGAATTGTTTTCACATCAATGGTAAAATTTCCCTACAACATTGGAGTCTGTCTTCAAAGTTTGTAGTTGATATTTTATGACCTCCCCCTGATTCCATCTTTCCTGAGAGCATGTAGTTGTGGGTTTACTAGTCTGATCATACAGAACTAGTACTGATATATATCCATATTTTCCTGTTTGTCTTCAAAGGACATTATCTTGAATTATTAAAATAGATTGTTGACTTTCCTCTCAAAAGTAGGAATTCCTCTGAGTCAGAAATCCAGCATGAAACAGGAGAAATCTGAACAAAACACTTTGAAGCACTGTGGATGGGTGTTTGACTCCACTTTTGTATGACAGTATTCCATAGATCAACAACTGTTGTACAGTCTGGAAACATTTTGATTTAAACAGATCCATCCAGTGAAAAAAAACACAGCCTGTACCATGACTAACAGTACTATATTCCATGTTGTATACAATGGTGTATTATTCTGTTCCTTCGATCTGTCTGCTTCAACCTTAAGCTTCTTGCTGCAAAGCTTGGTGAAAAAAAGTTTGTCTACTTCTTTTGATGTATTTTCAGCATGAAATGATGAGAATACAGTGACGTAAGGTGCAATCTTATTTTACTGGCTTTTAATGTTCTGCAAATGCGAAAAGTGTTTTGCCAAAAAAGTGTCAGTTATTTTGTGCTCTTACCTTTTTTGTATACTCAATGTACAGAGGAGGAAAAGTATTGTTAAGGTAGCAGCAACATCAGTGTTTTGTATTTACAGTCAGTAAGGACTAGGAAATATACTATTTATAATGTTTCTGTTTCATGTTGTACATTTTTACCCCATAGAAAGCACAGACAATCAGTGTTTAAAGATTGTAGGTGCAAAACATTATCTTTAGCACCCGCATCATTCATGTAATGTTGAAGGTGTCTTTACTGTCCTGTACTCTTCAATGTGCAAACATGACATGTCTCTCCCAGCTACATGTGTTTGTGTTTCTTTGGTAACTAGTTCAGGAGCAAGGAAGGTCATGAACAGTAATATCAAATTGTTTTCTTTGAGTAAAATACAAGACTTCCTTCCACAACCAGAAGAAACAGGTATTTTAGATTTAGAACATATTTTGTTTAAACTCATGCTTTCTCTGTTGAATACAGTAACTCATTGTCTTTATTAGCCTGAAATATTAGCTAGTCTAATTGGGAAGCACCCATATCCATATATAAGCTGGATTTCTGGCTATATTAAGAGAACATGATTTTTTTTTTACAATAATTATTGCAGTCCATAGTTCTGTCCAAGTATGAGACATTGTTTTGCTGAATCTACCCTAGCACCTGTATTGTTAATCATGTTGAGGGTTCAAAATACTTCTTTTCTCAGGCCAAGGAGGGACAGTTTGGCTGCTGTGTTAAAATTTAAAGAAGGTCACTTTAAAAGAAAAAAAAAAAAGATAACCTGAGCAAGGGGAAACCTGGCATTTAACACAAGTCTCACAGAAAACATGACTTGCGTGGCGAGAGTGGGTGTTTCAAATGCTGATTACTGAAACTGGTGTTTCTTCCTTTACTTTACACGTGCTCAAAGTAGTAATAATACTTTGTTTATTACAAAGGGCTAATTGCAATCACATAAAAATAAAACATGATACGAAATAGAAACATTCAAAGTGGTTATGATATTAGATTGAAGAGGATGAAAAGTTTTCTCTTAAAAATCAAGAGAAAACATCATTCACACTTTCCAATGTGAATTACATGCAGAATTTGAAAAAAAAATCATGAAATATATCTCCATCATGCATATTGGTAAGTCATAATTAAGAAACTACAGCTCTTTATTCCACCACCAACAGGGTAACATCTGGTAACTACTCGGCTACTTTCACCAGGGCCTGGTCTGGTGCAAGTCTGTCCGGTGGATTTGGTGTTCAGCACCAAGGACAGGGTTCATCATCAGTAGGCAGTGCTGTCTGTGAGCTCAAAGCAGCCAATTTTTACCAGAATTTTCCCTCTTTATCAATGTGCAAATTGTCTAATTCTAGGTACTGGTTGATATTGGCAGGTCTCAGTGAACCATCTAATGCAGCAGGGTACAATTTTGTGTTATATTTTTAGATATTAAAAGTAAAAAACACCCAACAAATTTGGTCATTTGGTCCAGTTTATTTATTTTCAGAATGGACTTGTTGAACAATTCTGACATTCTGCAAACTCACAAGCTTGGTTGTATACAAATCAAAAGATTTGTGAAATATATTTTTTACTACTAAGGCCAAACTAATTTAATTGTTGGTTCTCGGATTTTTTTCAGAAAAATATGAAGCGACAGGGCGAAAAAAAATAAAAACAGGTCTAGGCATCCTACAATGTATTATAGCCCCAAATACTACAATTGGAGCCATGAAGTCAACACAAAAGGCTGGGTTAATATTTAAACAACGAATTTTGAACTTTTAATCATCAAACCACTGCATCGATAGATGGAAAAACTGCAACAACTAGGAAGAAAATGACTTTCCTCAACTGTTGGGAGCAAAATATGAGCATTTTTGAGTTGATTCAGAACCAGAATTTTTTTTGCAAATCAGAAGAAAATGAAGAGGCGAATCCAAGAACCAACAAATGAAATTGGTGTGGCCTTAGTATGTTTTGCTAGTTTCCACCAGACTCCTTTTGCAGGCTGGATAAATAGTAGAAATGGGCCTAATAAGGGGACAATTGGCCAGAGAAGGTGGCCGGCCAGAGAACCGCCAGTTTGCCTGCACGGAACTTCTCTGGCCGGCCACCTTCTCTGGCCAATTATATCCCCTTTTTAGGCCTATTTCTACTATTAATATATTCAGCCTGCAAAAAGGAGTATAATCAACTGTTCTGGCTTAATATCATTGTGAAGATGTGTGACCGTAAAAAAATAACCGTACATTCTGTACCTTGTACATGTACATCAAATATGACACAGGTCTAAGACAGAAGGGAGAGTTATTCCTTTAATTTTAGATTACCTGGAGAAAGCAATTATGGGATTCATGTTTATTGAACAGATTGATGAAAATTCATATCATCAAAATCTAGATCGGGAAAATCTACGGTATACACAAATAATTTTAAAAGATTGTTTCGGTCAATCATAATTTGTAAGAAATACTGTGTGCATTATTGAGCTTCGTAAAAATTTAAGACTTCTTTTTTGTCTTTAACAACATGATCAATGCCTGAATAACAAAATATAGGCAACATCTGTTCAGCAACTCTGAAGTACATACACAAATACAATACTGGCAAGTGAATACTGGCATGCCAAATAACAAGATACAAATTTTAATCTACATGATTATTAATAACTACTTACATAACAGGTAGCTGTTGTGTAATGTTACCGTCTTTCATTGCTGACCTGACCAAAACATAACTTTTCTAATCAAACCATAATGTGCAGCAACATGTGCACACAAATGCACATGTACAAACTCTTGTTCTGCCCATCCCATATATATGAGTTGCACTATAATATAGTGTCCGTCCTGTTATGTGTATAATTTGGGGACATTTGTCGTGCAAAGCATCACACTTCAGCGAAACGCAATGAATGCATATTAAGTAACTACACCACTGCGGGGCAAAAAAATTCAAGGATCTGTGGCCTGCCTAAGACATCAACTTATTTGAAAATATAGTGTAAAATATGCCAGAAGTACAAGGGTTAAGCATGTACATCAATCATAATTCAGAACATGATTATTAAGTACAGATACATTAAGGTTGTTGTTGTGTGTCGGGGGGGGGGGTGTCTGGCAACAATACTTGCAGCAGTTTAACAGATTAGAACATTAACACATATTTGTGATCACCAACTGCTGCCAAATAAACGTGATAATGCATACTTGTAATATAAAAAATGACCAAAAAAAACTGATGTAAAGGTAACATATCAAATTACACCCCTAACAGTTTTCTGAATGAACAGATCTGGAGCTGGTTCATGTTAATTCAGAGAAATCAGACCCTGCTATTAACCCCATAATAGCTTAGTAGTAGAAGTAGAAGTTTCCCAGACAGTTGTTACCTGTTTCCTGTTGATACTTGATTGTGAAAACAATTAGCCTTCGGGCATGATTTTGCGAATAAAGTTTCAATTATGGCTAATATCAACTGTCATTCAAGCTCATGCTCACCATGTGTTGTTATTTGGTGTTTCCAATAGATAGAAACTGTTCTATCATCATGAGATTATTTCTGTTGCAATAAAATTATTGCAACACCCAAACTGAGTAATCAGTCACTTTTATAAATAATTCTCTAGAGTTTGTGCGGCTATACCCACTAGTTACATACAAAATGTATCTGAAAATCCATCATAGTTAATTACAATTATAATCTTAATTATTATTTATTTCAAAATACTAGAGTATCAAAGTACAATATTAATTTTAAAAGATAATATAAGCCTGGATATTGAGTAAGTGAGGAACCTGACTATATATAACGTTACCAATTTTTTTGTTTCTCGGATTTTCATCAAATACAAATTTGATCAATGGGCAGGCAAAATGTTAAAATGCTACCATAGGAGCCACAAAGTCATCATACCAATATGGTTAATATCATGAATCTTGAACTTTTGGTGAACAGATGAATGGGAAAAACTGTTACAACTGGGAAGACAAGGTCTGTTGTTTTGTCCCACTGATGGTGCAGATACCTTCAGCACTAGGGGTTGATTCATATCCTCAGTATGACTGTATGAGATGTTTGTCTTCTTTTTCTTTCCAATCAGAAGGGAGTTAAGAGGCAGAATCAGAAAACCAGAAAAATAAATGAGCTAAAGACCTTAGGAATCAAACTAGTTGGTATTATGACTACTGTTATGTTCACTTAATGCTGGAGAATGCATGACACTTGGTCATTAGTCAAATGTGTGAGTGCTGTCTCACATTGAGCCACATAAAGGTTCCAACTGTCAGCAGGAACTTTTTGTTCAGAATGACACAGTCAGAGTTACTCCAATCATTAGTGAGTCCAAGCTACAAGTAATCATTCTCTGCCTGCATTTGATACTCTGATTTCATTCCCTGTTCCTATCTGGACATTGGAGGCATCCTTGATGTTATAGATGTATGTAGTCTGCCCTGCCTTGTTGCTTTGTGCTGACTGGCCGTCTGTTACAGCTGGAGGGTACACAAGGCGGATGTCTACTGTCTCAGACGCACTACACCGTCTGCACCTCAGACTCTGGATCCCTAGGGGGCGCCGTTGTCTCAACAAGTCGCCTGGAAAGTAGTGGGGCTGCTCTTTTGTCGCATCTTCTTTCTTCAAGCAGTGGCAGCAGCCGATCCAGAAAGTGTAAGGAAGACCAGGCCACTCTTTCAGAAGGCTTCGAAGTACTCCGTACACCTTCAGGAGGCCCTCCCACGCCTTGTCTACGTGGCCTGTCTCAAACCGAGTCGCCATCGTGATGCTGGGGTTGTTCTCTTTGTTGACTTCACGTGTCACGTGGAGCGGGTAGTCACCGAAGGAGGCAAGTATGCCATCTGCCCAGTCCTGCCGGTTGCCTATGTGTGGGTCTATCTGTGCGCAGAACCTTTCGTACAGACCCCACGGAGTGAAGCCTCTCATCACACACAGAATGGTCAGCTGGTCCTGCTGCTGCGGACACACTGGACACCACAGCTGCTGGACATCAGCAGGCATGTGTGTGGTGAGAAACCAGGTGAACTGATACATGCTGCAGCTCTCCACTCTGTAAGCCCTGGCAATGGAGCCTGGTCCACTCATCGGGACTGGGTAACAGATACCAAATCTCTCCAACAGCCTGACCACGATGTCCATGTTGTCTGGTGGCTGCTTCATCCCCTTCAGTAGATGGTGCAGGGTGTCTACAGACATGAGGCCAGACCTCAGCAGGTCCTCCTGAAGCTGCCTCTGCTGGATGTGGTCCAGCGTCACACTGCCGATGTTTCTCATCAGCGTGTCCGTGTCGTGGTGATACAGCTGCTTCAAGATGTCCGTCAGCCCGGCCGGGTTCTGGAACACCACAGTCTTCAGGTCTGGGATGTCGTGAAAGTGCAGCACGACTCCTCTCCTGTGCAGGTAGGCGATGGCTGGATGGAGTCGGTCAGCGCTCAGTCCCACTTCCTGTCCTAACGTCTCCACCTCGGCCCAGGTCAGCCACAGCGTAGGTTCCCTCCTCTCAGCCAACAGGCGCTGCTCCAGACGCACCCAGGTTTCCGGGAGAACCCGGCGCAGGGCTGGGAAAACATCCTTGTTAAGAGCCAATGATACCAGCTCTTTCCTGAGGTCTTCAATTCCCTTGAGGGGATCGGCTGAGCTGACCGGGGCCACGCACCACGGCAACTTTGGCCGGCTTTCTAACATGGCCCTGAGCTTGTGATACCGTTTTAGCATTCTCTCTCTGCTGACACCATGTAACGGGTGGTCAATGTCAATGATGCTGGAATCACTGATGACGTCTTTGATGATCTTCATTTGATCCTGGATGATTTGAACTTGCTTCTCCTCATCACTTCTCAGCTGGTCACAAATGTCTTCACATTTGAGCCTCACATCTTTTGGTGTGCAGCGGTCAACATGAGTGCCGACCATGCGGATGACTGCACCTGGAGTGTGGGCATTCAGAGCCTTGGCCCACTTCCCAACTGTCTCCTCAAACTCAGCTGGCGTGTACTGCTCCAAATCCACTGTTATAACATTCATGGCTAACGGAGACAGGAAGAATTGGTGCACAAAGTCGTACACCTTATGGCCCCCAAAGTCATACACCTCAAACTGGAGACCTTGATCAGCCTGCCACAGCGTCACATCCATGCAGTGTGTCCTGTCCTTCTCTCTGGTTAACCTGGACTTATTCTCCATCAGGGCGTGGCAGAGACTTGTCTTTCCCGCCAGCGGACTGCCCAGCAGCACCATCTTCATCCTGGGCTGCACGACAGCCTTACATCTCTCCAGCTCCTCCTGGTACTTCAGTATGGCTTGAATGCCCTGTTCACAAACCTCGTACGGCGGCTGCACTAGGGGGTTACTGGTGGTGCTGAGGTACTTGAGTGATGAAGCTAGCCGACCAAACGTGTTCGGTAGTTCCTGGATGCAGTTGTCCATTAAAGACAGCCAGCGCAGTCTGGATAGGTTACACAACCTCTTCGGTACAGTACTTATCTTGTTTTCCCCTGCATCAATCCTTTCCAGAACCTCCAGTCTGTCAATGTCTTCTGGAAGATGTCTTAATTTGTTCATGGCTACATCAAGAACCTGCAGGCTAGTCCCAACATCTAAGACAACAGCTGGGACTTCTTCCAACTGGTTCTGACTGAGGTAAAGATTCTTTAAGTTTTGCAACTGAGAAAAACCTGTGGGCAGCTCATGAAGACAATTTCTGTGTGCATCAAAGGACTGGAGATGTGTCAGACTGCCAATACTGCTAGGCAATGAATGTAACTTATTCCCAAACACAAGTAAGGTTTCCATCTTACTAAATCTGCCGATCTGCTCAGGGAGATTATCAATATTGTTATCTGCTAAAGACAACTCTTCTAACTCTAACAAAGCGAACAGTTCTGTAGGAAATGCTGACAGACAGTTGTTATCCAGGTAAAGTTTGGTCAGGCAGCCAAGCCTTGTGAAGCTTGAGGGCAGCACCTTGAGCCTGTTTCTGCTCAGAAACAAGTGTTCAGTCTCTTCTTTCTCCAAGACATCCTCTGGAATGCGGGAGAGTCTGCGATCTGTCAGTCTGACTGTCTTGTCACTATCAGCTGCAGTAGCATCCTATGGACATACAGATTTACATTATGATTCAAATTACATCTGAAAATGGAAGAGCAAAAATGGTGGGGATAATAGGAATGATGGTTCCAACAGCATTGCTGAAGATCCAGGTTATTTGTTTGGCTCAAATTGAGCAAAATTTTAGATGTTAAAGTGGAAAATTGACAAAGTATCCACTCACATGCACACATGACCATATTTTAATTTTAAGAGATCTTAAAAGATCACCCCCAGATTTCCTAATAGCTGTCACCTTTTTTTAGTGCATGATTTTGAAAGCATGAATTTCAACACGGATGACTGCCAGAAATCAAAGTCACTTGTTGGCCAACCAAATGGAAAACAAAGTTGCTTACATTATGAATTAACAATATCCAGAAACATATTGCAAAAGATCAACCAAAGATTTCTTAAGGGCCCTCGCTTTCAAATTTGTCCAATGTTTTTTTGAGAACTGAGTCATGATTTACCTGACCGTAATCAATCTAGAGGAGAGGGAACTTGGGGGGTGGTAAAAGAATATTGATGCTGTGACACAGCATCAATATGTACTATAACCTGCCTAGTCCAAAATCAATGTCAAGTTGCCAATATAATTAAGTTTTGGGATTCAGAAAAGTACATGTAGAACCAGAACAATTGGTTCAGTCTGCTTTGCTGGACAGTGTCTTTTGGAAACGTAGTGTGAAGACTGGCCAACTGCTGCCAAGAATCTCAGGGAAACCCACATCGCAACGCAAAAGACTCATACTACATGTAGTAGATTTATTTAAGTTAATAATGACACTAAGAGATATCATTGCAGGTACAATGTAGAGATTATAAATGCAGTCTACCATACTGCTCAAGTGTCCTTCTACTTTAAATTTCCAACCAACAGGACATAATGGATATTGTATTCACTAAACAAGTGAGGTAACAAACAAACAAACAGTTGAGAGCATCACCTGTTTACTGCTGTATTCTTCCAACAGCTTGACAGCATCCAGATGTTCTCTCTCTTTGGCATGGTCAGCAGCTGTCATACCCACCTGGTCAACAAACAACATGGTCAGCAGCTGTCATACCCACCTGGTCAACAAACAACATGATCAGCAGCTGTCATACCCACCTAGTCAACAAACAACATGGTCAGCAGCTGTCATACCCACCTGGTCAACAAACAACATGGTCAGCAGCTGTCATGCCCACCTGGTCAACAAACAACATGGTCAGCAGCTGTCATACCCACCTGGTCAACAAACAACATGGTCAGCAGCTGTCATACCCACCTGGTCAAAGTCTAATTTGAACAGATTGACAAACTCTCTGAATCACTATTGTGCAATAATTACTGAGGTACTACTTTCTACTTGTGTGTGTTTGTCTGGTTCTGTAGGTATGTGAATGCAGTACATTGGCAGGAAAGGGGATTTGGTTACTGCAGATTGACCTTAAGGTCAAGTTTGAAGGAAGTGATGACAGTAAAAGGAAGTTCAGCCCATAAGCCAGCAGGAAGTGGCTGGGTCCTTTGACCAGGCAAGGTACCGTGGGAAATACACAGAGACATTCACAATAAGGCCACACCAAGTAAATTTTATGGATGACGTCCTTTGGAGACCCTAAATCTAATGCGAGAGGGCGAAAAAAAAACAAGAAGGGTCCTAAAAACAAGATGCCTAGATTAGAAATATACTAGACGACAAATGTTAGGACACAAATTGAATGAGGTGACACAGTGTAAGAAGCAAGAAGTCTTTTATTCATCATCAAAGCAGCACTAAATCAGGTGGAATAGCAGTTGTCGTCCTGTCCTGTTTTTTTCATCACATTTTTGCAGGTCTGCTACCCATTCCGCGTTACGGGTTTCACGCCAATGTAACGATTTGCGGCACTGTCGTGACTCTTTGGTCTTTTTGGACTCTTGTTTTTTTTCTAGGAACAGGCCAAAATCAATGCGCGCGCGGACGTCATCCATAAAATTTACTTGGTGTGGCCTAATGAATAAAACAAGAAATTATTATATATAATAAAAGTCTCTGATATCTTGTTTTTTGGACTTAATACAATATTTTCTGGTGTATACATGTAGATTTTACTTAATTTTGTATCTCAGGACTTAGTCAGATATTTCATACTGCAGACTCTACCTGTTAAGATTCCCCAATATAGAAAGAATTCTACACACTTAGTCTATTCCTGTAACGTGTAGTCTACACATAGCTGTTTGGTAAGACCTGCTTTCACTTCCTAAAAGCTAACTGATTTAGTCTGATTGTTCTATCATTGTTCTCTTAAGGAGGATGGCAGCGATGATAGTCCATGACTGGAGAACAGTATACATGTACATGTTATATTACCTTGTCAACTACATCCAGATTCACTCCAGTCTTCAGGAGGATTTTCAGAATCTCCAGATGACCAGCCTTAGCAGCCAGGTGCACGGGTGTGTAACCTTCCTGAAAGGGAAGGAACATACCCGGGAGTGAAAATTTAACTGTTCTCTTTGAAGAGGTTCATCAGTCACGTATAGGATAACAGTTAGTAGAACATTCATCAATCTGTGATCAAGGCGTACAGTGCACGTAAAAAATTTGGAGATATGTGTTTGCTACCTTTCAAAACAGTCACTTATCAATGAATGTTCTATTAACTGTTCTCCAAAAGAATTTGATTCACTCAGGAATTTTCAACCAAATCCTTCTGTTTGTGACATGTAGATAGAAATATTGCAAAATGATATGTCAATGTTTTACATCTATATACAGTAATTAAATCAACCCACCAAGTTTTTCTTGTCTTTGTCTGCAGCATATTTAGACAGCAGAGCCTGAACCACATCAAACTTGTTGTACCACACAGCACGGTGCAGGGGACTGCAGCCAACCTACCAACAATATCATGTGTACAAGAATCAGCAACTTATTTTAAAACGCAATTGTGTGTGTGTGTGTGTATGTGTGTGTGTATGTGTGTGTGTGTGTGTGTGTGTGTGTGTGTGTGTGTGTGTGTGTGTGTGTGTGTGTGTGTGTGTGTGTGTGTGTGTGTGTGTGTGTGTGTGTGTGTGTGTGTGTGTGTGTGTGTTTGTTTGGGGATGCATGTGTATGACTGCATTTTTGTGTTAAGCCCATATTCTGTGCAAGCTTTTCAAAACGCAGCTGTAAAGAAATGTTCAAACCATGAAATCTAATGTGATTGTCACTCTTCAAATGGTCAAAAAGGAATAACCAGCTTTGTTGTGCCTTATAATACAATGATCATCAAAAGGACTGCCTCTTTTGAAGTTTTGTCTAAAAATCATGATCATTTCTCACTACACAAATAAGAACAACCACCAATGGTTTCTTCCATACCTCATCTTGACTGTCAACTTCTGCACCAGCATTGATCAGCAGGTCAATGACCTGTAGGTCACCGACTGCAGCAGCACAGTGTAGTGGTGTGAACTCATGGGCCCGTTTCTAACATTGGATAACAAGACACACATTTTATAAGGAGACACATATTCATTATCAACTTAAAGCCTTAGAAAAGACTGTAAAACATTATTTCCTTAAAGTTCACTACATACAAAATACTGGATTACTACTTTATTATAACACTACAGTAGTAGTGTGTCCAATGCTATTTACAATTTTCTGCTATCATAATAATGTTGCCTTTACTGTTCTTTAATTTAACGTTAGTCATTTATATATCCATTTACTCTATGTGTTACTGCATTTTCATAAATACATTGTATGGTAACAAGGAGTAAAGGAATGTTACAATATTGTACACAGTAACAGTATTTCAGGCTGTCTAGAACACTTAGTATTAATATTATTTATTATATTATATCAATAGATTTACCAGAGTATCAATTAAATCATTTTTATCAAATATCCACTCCAGACAATTCAAGACAATCGTTTCACTTCCCCTCAAGGTCTAGATAGCAATATTGGTTCAGAAGTTTTCTTTTACACTATTGTTGCCAATCTGACTCTCAGAAAGAGGCTCCACGTACATGTACTAGTAGTGCTTCTCTTACAGTAAATCACTCTATATTTACGGCAGCACAAGGTTGTCGTTTGAGAAAAAGGACATGTTTGGGGAACTACATGTATATGTTCTCGGTGCAGGTGCAGAAAAAAAAGAAAGTTGGCAAATTATTTGTTTGGAGCGTGGACTTTTCTTGACCAGTGTCGGTCATGGGACTAGGTAGGTAGGTAGGTAGACTTTTCTTGAGTTGATGTTTTATAAAAAGTTGCACTTCAGAGACTAGAAATGCACAATATCGTATCAACATTCCAAAATGATATAAACCTTTATGACCGAGGCCTTATAATTCATTCCTTATCAATTTTACAAAACTCTATCCGAAGTTAGCATGAGTTTCCCGCATGTCTTTCTTGGCAGAATTGTATCCCATCAGCCTTAGGGTGTCATGCGACTCACAAAATCATATTAGAAACTGTGGTCCGAGATCTTTTATCACTATGGAATTGTATGGTATTTCCTTGGAATTGATTATGCAAATTAGGTCTTCATCTAAATGATGTATATATGTCCTCTGAAATGTTACCTTCTGATGTAACTAAAAATACTGACTTATATCAAGGACATGTATAATGTCCTTGCTTATATAATACTTGATTTTTGTCTGTCAGGGTTGACGGATTGGTTGGAAAATATTTCCGCCAAACACTGCAAAGTTACCGAATCGACAGAAAAACTGGTGCTGGTTCTGGCTAGAGCCCTGCTACCATGTGGCACACCTCCAGCAAATTCTGGGAACAAAGCTGCAGCTCCCCCTAGCAGACTCACCAGGTCAGGCAGTTTACACTCACACCTGCCGTCCACATCCTCTCCTGCCTGCACCAGCTGGGCCACTCTGTGCTGGTCTCCCTTAATAACTGCATCATGGAGGGGCTGAAATGGAGAACATGCAGTTGTACACTAGAAGTAGAAAGGAAACATTTGCAAGTGAATACTCTAGTGCTGTGTACCGGTTTGCTGGACCTAAAAATGTTTAGGTTCACACTCACTCACACTCACTATCCAGCCAGGATTAAAAAAAAAAAAAAACCAAAAGTCAAGAACCGATTCTGGACTTATTACAAAAAAAAAAAAACCTCCACCTGTAACAAAAATCACAATGATCCATCAACTGGTTTGTAGTCTTTCAAATACTTTTCAACAAATGCTTCTGCAGTTACAGAACAAGCTGTTAGGGGGCCCAAACTCATGTCACTTCTTCCCTAGCCCAAGAGCTACCTACAATCCAAATTCGCTACCCTACATCTGCTCATCAAATCCTACTGTAGTTCCAATCCAGAAATGCTTCAAACTCTTCCCTACATGTAATTCCAATCCAGGATCTCTTCTAACCCTCCCTATAGTGTTCCAATTCGGGATTTAGTTAAACCCTCCCTACTTCAAATCCAGAATTTTTTCCAACCCTCCCTACTTCCAATCCAGTTCTAATCCAGAACTGCTTCAAACCCTCCCCACTTCCAATCCAGTTCTAATCCAGAACTGCTTCAAACCCTCCCTACTTCCAATCCAGCTCTAATCCAGAACTGCTTCAAACCCTCTACTTCTAATCCAGAACTGCTTCAAACCCTCCCTACTTCTAATCCAGTTCTAATCCAGAATTGCTTCAAACCCTCCCTACTTCTAATCCAGTTCTAATCCAGAACTGCTTCAAACCCTCCCTACTTCCAATCCAGCTCTAATCCAGAACTGCTTCAAACCCTCCCTACTTCCAATCCAGTTCTAATCCAGAACTGCTTCAAACCCTCCCTACTTCCAATCCAGCTCTAATCCAGAACTGCTTCAAACCCTCCCTACTTCCAATCCAGTTCTAATCCAGAACTGCTTCAAACCCTCCCTAGTTCCAATCCAGGATTTCTGCCAACCCTACCCTACCCTCGTTCCAATCCGGGATTTCTTTGAAAGTGTACTCTTTGAACAACCATTTTGATTTTAATTTAACTCCATGGAACAACCCAATGTCCGTCAGCAGGGGTGCCAATCAATTTGCACGAATTTTACGGAACTTACTAGTATACGAATTTTGCCGATTTTATACGAATACCACGGTATTCATACAAATACAAATTTTACGGAATGCTTACAATTTAATACAAATTTTACGGAATTCATACAAATTTTACAAAATACATACAATCCATTACTCGGAAACATATGAATCTTGTAAAATTTGTACGGAGCCTGTAAAATCCGTATCAATTTTTTTGGCACAGTGCTGTGAGTGCCATGCATAAATTGCCAACTTCAATTGCAAGTCTACGAAAGCCACGCCTTCCGCACTGGTGTTCCAGTGCTGATTCAATGGACATAACGGCGTCAGCACTGGACGTCCAGTGCCGACGAGAGCCGAGCACTGGTGTTCCAGTGCTGAACGGCCCTTTCCCAGTGCTGAAGCGCCCTCACCACTGGTGTTCCAGTGCTGAACGTTATCTCAGCACTCGGTTTCCAGTGTTGAAATCCTTTCAGCACTGGTGTTCCAGTGCCAGAATCCTGTCAGCACTCGGTTACCAGTGCTCAACGCGCGGCAGAATGGCGGCAGCGGGGTTCTCAGCACTGGTTACCCAGTGCTGAAAACGCAGTCAGCACTGGGATCGAGTGCTCATATACAAAGCCACGCCTTCTGCACTGGATTTTACCAGTGCTCGGGGACAGTTCAGCACTGGAACACCAGTGCTTTAAAATCTTGAGCTCTGGAACACGAGTACTGACGTCCTTTCAGCACTGGAACGCTCTTCAAACCAGTGCTGAGAGGGATAATATGATTACGAAATAAGCCGGAATCTGCCACTTTAACTTGAATTATAGAATACAAGGTGTCTGTGGCTACTTTATAACATAATAAAAAAACTGCATCTTGTGATTATTTTCCTTAATTCTAGAAAATAAAAGATACGGGTATAAGTGACAACGAACTAGTATAACAACTTTATTTCTGAACTTTGTTGTATGATTGTGATAGATATAGCCCGTTTGGGAGTGGTTGGGTGGCCCTGAAAAGGGCCGGGGTGCTTGAAAACTAGTTCGCCTCCCCGTTGTTGTTGTCGCTGAACAGTCTATTGCGTGTCAATTCTACAACGAAATACTAGTACATATTTTGCTCATGCACAAATGATACATATATAACTTGAGTGTCTATTCTACAACGAAAACTTTATTTTGTCCATGCGCAAATGATACATACTAACATAGAACTCGGGCACCAGTGCGGAAAGTGGCTTCAGCACTGGACTTCCAATGCTGAATGGTCGTCAGCACTCGTTTTCCAGTGCTCAATGTCGCCTGAGCACTCGGGTTCCAGTGCTGACGCCAGCTTTTCCAGTGCTGAGAGCGCCTCAGCACTGGAAGTCCAGTGCTGACGTGAAGCCACTTTCTGCACTGGAACCAAGTGCTGAAAAGGAGAGCGTGGTTTTCGTAGTTTTGCACTTCAATTTGTATTTGGGGAAAACGATGAAGATTATGACAGGTGGCCTGGCGGTCTGATATTGAAATCTGGACTATTCGTATACAGCTGAAGATATTTGGGCGCCCGGAATTCAACCTGAAGTTTTTTTTTTTTAATTGTTGCATGGAAGTACACTAACTTTAGTAGGGGTAAAAGGACTCGGAGGCGCCTGGAAAGAGTAGAATATGGCCAAAATGTGCTCTCTAGCGGACCAACTCCCTCGACATGTTATCTTTCTAACGTTATTTTGGCCAATTTCTACTCCTTCCTGTCGGCTCCCGAAGCCTGGTAACACGTAACGTTACTAGTAGAGGCTACATGTATTAAACGTTACATTTTTCTACATCCATTATCATACAGTAAAGTTCGCTCCAACCGCCTGTGGGCGTCCCAGACATTTTCAAGTACTCAATACTGACCTTCATATCTGTAAGTCTTGACGTCGATCCTCGTAATGTACATGGGAGTCCTCTTTTGACAAAAATTCTTTCCTCCTCAGAAGAAAACTGAAAGTCTTGGGAAAGTCCGGTCTTCCATCATCCAACAAAGGTCAGAGTTAACCAGGTCAGAGTTCACGATGGAACATTCCACTTGTTACATGCAACAACCTTCTTGTTTGTTTATAAACACCGACCTGGCAGTAAGTTGTGTATGCCAAAAAATAAATAAATACCCCTTTGTACAAGCAAGAAGGTTGGACTATAACCTTCTGTCTACAAGCTTGCTACAAGTTTATGAAGGTTGTTGTAACAAGTGGAATGTTCCACTTCCCGTGTAGGGGCAATTAGGATATTCCAAAAAAAGATGAGGGGGGGGGGTATGATACTTACAATACTCATGGTGTATTAAGTGTGAGAACTTCTGTGATTGGTCAGAATGTTTAATTCTGCTAATTTCAATCATATAAATTTAAAGAGACTTTGGGGAAACCTAACAGTTATCCATCTGACCTCTTGCCAAAAATCTACCACTGAAACAAAGTCATCACATTCATATCAAACTTTTTCAAAATGCCTGGGGTCTGGGGTTCAACACCTATTATCAATAGTTCTTTCTCCCCGATGGCATCATCCAACCTTGTAGTGTACCTGTAATTCCCCACAACACACAATAACTTGTGCCAAAAATTACTTGTGGGTAACTTAGAAAGTGTGCTAATATAGTTGTATGATAGTAGACTATCTCAACTATCTGATGATCTTTGATCCACAAGAACACAACAGAACCAACACCACAAAACTGACCAGGCATATTTTTTTCTTTCCAAGTCATAGCAAGTATACATTTTCTCCATGCATTCTTCTTGGTTTTCCTGTATGGTAGCTTATCATCATATTTCACTGTACAGCAAACATGAAGGCAGTTTTACAATGTTATTAATGTTACACAGATGTATGCTCCAAGGACTAGAACATTCTGAATGCAAGTTTTGATTGAAGCAAGGTTTGAATATTGAATTGGACAACCTATCACAAATACGGTTTTTGGAGACACTTAAAGGCATAATTGTGGTGCCAAAACTAAATTTCGCTTTATTGCCCCTTGACGTAAATTATAATAACATGTATTTGTAATTATAACATTACAAATATAGATACGGGGAACATCAGACAATACATCATGACATGATTATAAACAATAATATACTGATGATCATGATGCATTTATCGTAATAATTTTCCCATTTTTTTGCAAGCAGAGAATAATCATCAAAATACAGTCTGTATGAATTTTGAATGACAGAATAGTGAGGGTTGTGAATGTACTGTAACGAAAATGTGTCTTATAATGTGGTCATATTTTAATTCATCATTGTGGCAAAATTTGTCAATTTTTCAAACAGTCTACATCGACCCATACAGTACATCAAACAATTCCACTTTCAAACATACATTGACTCAAATAATTGAAACCTTTTACTTGTAATGTAATTAAACTTACATAAACTTTGCTCATAAAAAGATGCTGTCATTGTTACCTCCAATGGTAATGTACAAAACATAATCCATACAACTAAACTTACATGTAATCAAGAGTTTTTATCAACATAATTCTGACATCCAATTAACTCAATCAAGGGTTTCAAATTAATAAACATGGATTTTGTTGAAATCATTTGTTTTCAACAGTATTATGCATACACATGTGCTTAACATTGACCAATTATTGCCAAACTGAGAATTGTTACCATATCATGTATAGTGTTGGAGGCTGTGATGACTGGTAAGGCCACAGCAAGTAAATTTTATGGATGACATCCTCCGCAGACTCATCCTCAGTGGGCAAAAAAAAAAAAGGCGGGCAGAAATAAACAAGGTTCCTGCATTTTAAGATTTTGACTCAATCATTGAACAAATGGTTTTCATTCAGTGGGAACATCACATATGCATAGCCAACATCACATCACTGCAACAAAGTAAGAAACAAAACATTAAATCAGAGCCTTTTCTTGTCTCCTCTCTTCTGGTATGGCAACAGACATCTTTGCCCATTTTTGGCATGATGACCACTGTCAGAAGGCAACAAAATTTTTGTTTTCTCTCCAAAATCAGGCGAAAATTAATGCGTGCTGATGTCATCCATAAAAGTTACTTGCTGTGTCCTAAGTGAGAATCCTGAACTCCCTCCTGGCTTAGAGGTGTTCATTACAACAACCTCTGCTCATAGAGCCCCAGACAGTCAGAGTAAGTTTTACACAGACTAAATCCTAGTATGTTGTAGAGATGACTGAGCTTCCAAAACCCCTATACATGTAGCTTTACATGATGAGAAATTCAACACAAAAGACTTAAAAGATGTGTCTGTGAAATATTAAAAGTTTCTCGTAGTAAGGCTTGTTTGATTGTATTTCATTAGTTACACAAAATGTTTTACCTCACATTACACATGTCCACTGATAGCTGTCCAATAACTGTATGGTAAACATGACTAGCATAAAGAAAATGTATAACTGCGCAAACAAACCAAAAACAACACCTCCCCCTGAATTAGTAGCCTCTTCCATGACCCCTGACCTGGAATGTCTGTCAGCAGCCAAAGTTGATAAATTGACTAATTCTACATCCTCTGAACTGTACTTTTTGTCACTTTCATCTGCAGTTAAAATTCTACCATCATTGAACTCTATTTCCTGTCAGTCCCACCTCTGGACTGTATTTCCTGTCACTCCAGTCTGTGGTTACACCATCCCCCCACCCTCTAACTGCCCACACACAGGAGATAAAAAAGCAGTTTCATAGTACAGGTAACATAAAGAAATAACACTGTACTAATGACAATAAATGGAAGGCTTCAGGGTCCCAGAAATCACACTTTGCACAAGTTGCTATCTTCTGTGTTGGATTAAGTATTACTACATGAATTCATACAGTTGGGATGTGGCATTGTCTACACTAGTACTGTAACAACATCTGTTGTATTCTCAAGTCAATCTGGAATGGGGGAATCAGTCTTCCTCTTCATCATCAGTTTCATAGTCTGATATGTCCTCCTCTTCATCATTATTCTCATCCTCATCCTCCGATAGGTTCCATGCAGCTTCAGCATCCACTGCCTCCTTGGCTTCTTTGACGTCCAACTAGAAAAAATGGCAACAGGAGAGTGAGTGTTATGAACCCACTGTGAACCATTTGTCCACTACAACACAAAATCTGTAAGAACAGTCCTGTTACAACCCCCCCAACTTAGAAGTAGAGCAGTCCGACCTAGGAATACTATGGTGCTAGGGGTCCTGGAGGCAACACAATAAAGTATGAAGCTCTTCAGAAGTCCAGTGTGCGACCAGTTCACTATAGCAATAACATAAAAGTGAGATGCTAATTGTGCTACTCTCAAAGCAGAGGTTAGGCCTATTTTTACATTTTTTTGCTTTAATCAGGCTTCTGATTTTATTAGTTTTTCCTGGTGTAACAAGAATACCTAATCAAAAGCAGAGAAACATGAATAAAAAACAAAGGACTAATTTTTTTCTGGTAGTTTATGCACATGCTGATCAGTGTTACTGTAGTTATGATCTTCAAATTTTATGCAGTACAATAAATGGCATTGTGAACATGACATACAGAATATGTTTTTCTTAATCCTAGCCAATATTTGTCATACATTGTATTGTTTATGCAATTGACCCCTAAATTGTAAATTGATCCCTCTTTCTCATTGGCTGGACTGACGCATTGAGACGGGGTGAAATCCTGGTGTCATTTCAATTTTCCTTGTCTTAAATCAAATTATACCAGATAAATGATAATATTAACTTTGAATTTCATTCAGTCATTCATGTTGTAACGGATACATGTATGTACCTTTTCAAATTCAATACCTTGACAAATACAGATTTGCAGTGGGGGTATAAGCACTTGAGGTTTGAAATATACATTTTGTAGGTACTTGTCCAATTTTGAAAGGATTGTCTTTCATGGCTTCATTATCACCCAATTGAAAGGTCATCTATTTAACTTTATTTGCTTACTACATGTATTAATACTAATTACTCCATAATGATGCTACCTTTATGCTCTTCATGACATCGAAGTCCAGGTAAGAGTCAGATCTGATGCAGACTGTGTACTGGTAGGTACCCGGCTTGTCTGGGGCTGCAAACTTCAACTCAACCTGACACAACAAAACAATCATTCAAACAGTACGTTGATGAAGGTTAGACATCCAGGTTAACAATATTCATAGGAAATTCAAAAGTGTGTCAACGAGTTCTGTTAGTTCATCAGTGACGCTGAAGAATAGTGGTGGATGTCACTTGAAACATCCAGAAATTATCTCCATAATTTATCCAGTACTTGAGTTTGAATTTCCTATCAGCATTGAAATGGTACTTGTATGGCAATGAAGACCTTCCAGGAAGGCACATGTGTACATAATTAATATTTAGTATCCCTGCAGAAGAACATTACTAGTAAACACTAGAAGGTTGTTTCATTTTTTGGCGTACCATTATGTTTGCATGTGCAAAATATTTATTGTAAAGCTATAATTTATAAACAGTCAAAAATCAATCATGTTACAGTAGAACCTGTCTATAGTGGTCACTCAAGGCACTGAGCAAATCTGACCACTACGGACAGGTGATCACTATAGAGAGAGAAAGTCCATATCTCATTACAAGCATATATATATGACACGGATTTTCAGCTTTCATAGATACCTTTATTCAATTCCTGTCACAATTTTAAATGTTTGTACACTGGTAATGCTAAGGTACAAAATTGTAACAGCTTGTCTCAGCTGGCCTCAGAAAAGCTGGCAATTTTCCACCTCAGCTACAATGTACAGCTGGGAGAGTGAGAAACTGTGTGCCCATACCTCCTCCTCCTCCTGTAGACTGGTCACCATACAGGGGGCTGTGATGAGGGAGTGTTTTTTCCTGTCTGCCACATACAGCCACCACCACTCCTGCTTCTCCTGATTCAGAAGAAAAAAAAACAATCCAGCGAAGAAGTAAAAATGGTGAAATTTCGTAAACTGACAAAGGTTTTCAAATAATTGTTCAGTTCCAAGAATCAATGGTAAAACTGGTTTCATTGTACTCAACAGTCATTCACAAAACTGAAATTGCTCTGGATGCCTTTAACCTCTGACCTTACCCATAGTCCCTTGGCACTGGATGAGCTGAGTCCTGTCCATATTAGGACATTATGATTCATGTTATTGCCACTGTAGTTTCTAATTTATTTTTTACACAGGTTTTCTATCTCTCAATACAGTGGTTTGATTAAAAGTTCAAAATTCATTGTTTAAATAGTAACCCAACCTTTTGTGTTGACTTCATGGCTCCTTTCGTAGCATTTAGTGCTATAATAGGATGCCTAGACCTGTTTTTATTTTTTTTCGCCCTGTCCAGAACCAAGAAATTAAATTGGTGTGGCCTTATGTTTAGTTATAAAACTTAGTTATAAAAGTTATTTCTGACTACACAATTATATGTTAGAATTTTACTTTGCCTATCACTTGTTTTATTGCACACGACTCCATTAGTGCCACCAGTATAAAGGTGAATAAAGTTCAAAGGAATTGTTATAATAAATTTATGTTCTACCTATGATACATGTATACATGAGTATGTACCTCAGGGAAGTAGGGAGCGTGGACGGTGTGGCTAATCTTGGACTTGGTCTCCAGCACCTTCTCTTTCCTGTTAATCCTGGCCTGTAGGGCATCCCAGTTCTGCACACAAACACACAGGGTTAGAAATCATGATATACATGTACATGTACATGTGGAGGGCTTGAAATACATTTGTGGGAATAGGTGCACTGGTGCACCCAACCTGAAAAAATTAGGTTCACAAAAAATTTTTTGGGTGCACCATAAAAAAAAACATAATTAGAGATCTTACTGCTTCTCTTCTGAGCTTGAATCTTAAATGGGAACTAACTTCAAAACCTCAAACAAGTATTACAAGAAAGATTTTATTATTTTTCTGACACTTAGATGCCAAGAATATCCTGTATACTATTAATATAATATACATTTGATTTGTAAAAATATCTACCAACTTAAAAATAGTTGGGTGCAAAAAAAAATTGCACCCAGTATTTCAAGCTCTGATGTGACAGTCAAAGTTACATGTACATGTGAACTTTCTTGAACTATACATTGTACGTGCTCAAAAAAACAGTATGCCAGAGGGCTGGACAGGCACATCAGATTTACATGTGGGTTCCCTAACATTAACAAAAGATGGTTATGAGGTGCCCTTATTGGAATAGAAATAAAAGACAAAAGTGATCCTTGTCATACTGACAGAGGAACACCACAAGATGTTGAAATAATGGCTTAAAGAATTACCAATATCTGTCATGCATACATGTATGCTAGAGATGGTTATTTCATGCAGATCTGATATAAGTGTTAATAAGACCTAGGAAAAAAATATTGTGTTTCCTGTTTCAGTCCTGAAATAATTAGGGTCGGTACAGTGTACTACTACTAGGCAGGGATTATATTTTTTTTAGACTTTTGGGATTTCTAGTGATCAAACTTACATAACATGTCATTGACATTGTACATAATACAGTTTAACAAAGGATATCAATTGTACAAAGTTTCAGATTGGAGCTAGAAAAGGTCAATCAGCTCAAAAAATTTATACGTTCCTTGCTGGAGTAAAAAAAAGGCTAGGGGCAGTAATTTTTTCTATGGTCTGTCCGGAAACACATTTTTTTCTACAGATGTAAGCCTAATACTGTTGCTGAGCTATGACTTTTTTCTTGAAATTTTTTCTTGAAAAGTCAAAGAAACGGAAGGGATTACATGTCTTACATCATCATCATCTTCTGACTGTCTCTGACCGTCGTTGTCACTGCCACTCCCATCCTCGTCTTCCCGGTCAGGCTCATCCTCCCAGTCTGAGTTAGAGGAGTCCTCGTCTTTCCCAGCCTTCACTTCCTGTATCCTCTGTAGCACATAGGACGGTGATGTTAGCTTCAGGTTAGTGTACATGAAGCAGTGTAATTCAAGGAAAGTAGCTTCATTTGGTATCATTGCATTAAACAGGATTTAATACAGACACAAACTTAAGGCCACATCAATTTTATTTCTTGGTTAACGTATTCGCCCGCTTCATTTTTTTATGATTTGCCAATTCAGATTCAGAATCAACTGCAAAATGCTCATATTTTGCCCTGAACAGTTGAAAACAGTCCTTTTTTTCCTAGCTGTTACAGTCATTCCATCTTTCAATGCAATGGTATCATTAAAAGTTAAAAACTCATTGTTTAAATTTTGAACCAGCCTGGTGTGTTGACTTCATGGCTCCTATCGTACGATTTTGGGCCATAACAGGATGCCTAGGCCTGTTTTTATTCTATTTCGCCCGCCCGCTCCATTATTTTTCGAGAAAAATACATTAACCAATAAACTAAATTGGTTTGGCCTAAGTATCTAAATTCTATCCATTTTCCCATCGCTACGAATGATGTCTACTCACACAATCTGGGAGGATGCCATATCCACAGCAGATGCCACGTGATCCAGCCTTGAGATTTCGGAGTCTGTCATCTTCCCATCGCTACGAATGATATCTAAATTCTATTCCACAGAACTTACATTGTTTTCCCCTTCCTTCAGCTTGTCCAGTGGAAGGGCTCCATTTTGCTGCTGCTTCTTGTTCTGCTGATGCTGGGTCTTGTTCGGCTTCTTCTTGGCTTTTCCTGCCTTCTGCTTCCCCTTCCGGTTCTTCTGCCAGGGTTTGGGTTTGTTCACCTACAAGAAAAAATGCATTTATAACTTCATTCTGACAGATTCACACAACTTGACAGATTGAACAAAAAATGGGAGCAATAGAGCATTGTCTCATTTGAAACACAGTACATTGTACTCCATCACACATAGCTGAAGTCAGTCAGTCAGTCTGTCAGTCAGTCAGTGAGTGACTTAATCACTCACTCACTCACTCACTCACTCACTCACTCACTCACTCACTCACTCCAGTTTAATGGCTGCTGTTTGTCGCCTCCTTTGTGACAGGGGCTTACAAATTTACATATTGTGACACTCACTCACTCTCTCCCATAGCTTATAGTCAGCCGTTGGGGCAGCATATTTGGCCAAATTGTGACAGGGGATTACAAAGATACTTCATTGCTGTTAATCATGTATCTCCAGAACACACAACACTGCTGTTTTGTACTAGAGAGTACTATCAGTTTGTCAGACTGTAATATAATCTGTAGAATGTAACATGATCTGTAGAATGTAACATGATCTGTACCACTTTCTCAGGCTGTTCCTCCTCCTCAGGTTCTTCATCAACTTCAGCAGCTGGTGGCTCCTCCACACCCTGGCTAACTACAGACTACACAACACAAAATACACATTCTGTCAGCCACGTCATTTTTATATAGCTTGCAGGGCTGAAAATACTGGGTGCATGTGCACCTTAGTGCACCCAAAATTGGAACTGTGCACCCAATTTTTTTTCTGTGGGTGCACTGGTGCACCCAAATATTTTTGTAGGTATTTTCTACATATCAAATGTATAATAGTATATTCTTGGCATCTACAGTGTAAGTGTCAGAAAAATAATAAAATCTTTCTTGTAGTACTTGTTTAAGATTTTGAAGTTATCTCCCATTTTGGATTCAAGCTCAGAAGAGAAGCAGTAAGATCTCTAATTATGTTTTGTTTTATATGGTGCACCCAAAATTTTTTTGTGCACCTAATTTTTTAGGTTAGGTGCACCACCTATTCACAAAATTAAATTTCGAGCCCTGGCTTGGCATGTGTCAGCCTGTGGGACACCATGTCCCTTATTTGGGTGACTGACATTCCTAGTGGCTGTTCTCTGTACCAACATGATACGAGCCATGCTCGTAGCCAAGCCCTCCCACACACTTGGTTCATTTTTAATTCCCAAGATTTTTTTTACAAAGGCAGACTGATTTGTATCACCAGTGGGGCTGGAACCCTATAAAAACTAATTTAAAGGACATCAGTGAAGGTTAGACATCTAGGTAATAAGATACGCCAAAAACAGTTACACCTCAACTGGATGTGATTTTGGACATTTTTTCTTTGAAATCCCCGCAAAAATGCAGTAAATGACATTTTGGAAGGTTCTTTCATCAAAGTTTGCAACCTGGACACACCTAAAAAGCTTGTGCCTGCAGTGTTCACTGGACAGGTGCCTCAGTTAGTAGACTACATGTACCTCCCCCCCCCCCCCCGGGAAAATTTTGGCCATGGGCATGGGAGCTTAATTTAGCTTTCCAGGTGTCTCCAAGCTTAATTCAGCTTTCCAAGTTTGCAGCCAATTATCTTCTATCAAACTTCAGGAAAAATCTGTACAACTGTATGCACCGGGAACAATAAACAATACATGTACCCAGATACTTCATATCAAAATGCTTCTTTCATCATCATCATAGCTAAATCATCAATTTAAATGGAATAATTTTGATGTTAAGTATGATATTTTCTTCTTGACATTTTGATATGATATACTTACTTCCATACTCTGCCGTTTGAGTTTACAATTGACAGTGACGATGGCTCCAGCAGTTATGGTGTAGGTGTCTTCATCATCCAGGACTGAGAAAAGAAAATAGACAGTATACATGTCAGGCCTCGAAATTAACTTTTCTTCCTATTGTCCCAGCACTGTCCCAAAAATAAATCTCAATTGTCCTGAATTGAGGATGAACTGTCTCAACCAGATTTTCCGGAAGTATGTATGACTTCAACAAGTGAAGTCAATTTTATTTAAAATTTGCTAATGTTCACTCCTAGCCACACTATAAGGCCACACCAATTTATTTCCTTGGTTAACGGATTCGCCGCTTGCTTTTTGTGCCAAATGAAAATAAAAATAAAAAACGTCATAGTTTAGACCCCACAGGCCGGTAATACCCTGAACAGGGAGACCCCAATGAAATTGCTGCAGTTCATACCAATGTCGCTAGAGGCGCTCCTGCACACATAGTCACATGACGTAAAGTAGCCAATCGTGGATTGTTTTACTTTCTGACCAATCAGATGCGATGTTTTGGAACCATGTTGGCTCAGTCATTTGGTTCTGCATGGCGGGAGCCTCATGGCGGACAAAATTTGTGGCGGAAGCTTAAATTGTTTGAGAAAGCTGGAACTTTGGGTCAAGGCAGAATCTAGGTACAGTACATGTAAAATTGAATAAATTTTGTCCCCTTTAAAGTTAAAATTGCTTGTGAGAGTTAACATTCGTGTCATGTTTTAGAGTACATATGATGATGGTGGAACTTGGAAGTAACATGCTAAAACTTGTTTTCTGCATAATTTTTGCTCGTGTACGAAAAAGATTATCAACCCAATGGTGTGGATAGCAAATAAAACACAATACGGTACATCCTCTCTTGTCTTTTGTTTCTTTCCCAGTATTTTCGTAACTTAATAAGCAGTCTGGATTTCACACTACATGGCTGTTTGGCAGGTAGTATCAAATTTTTATTTTTATTTTTTTTTCGCCCGCCCGCTCCATTTTTTTTCTACAAAAATCCGTTAACCAAGAAAATAAATTGGTGTGGCCTAATTGCAGAGTAGACAGGGAATTTGGGATACAAAAGCCGGGACATGTGCCTGATAAACAAAAAGTTGGGCTGACATTCTGATGTTGATTATTTTTCTATTGTCCCAAAAATGTCCCAAAGTGTCTTTTTAGTTGTCCCAGCCTAAATGTTTGTGGTCAGTAGCCATTGGACCACCTTTAATATCAAGCCATGCATGTGCATACATGTAGAGTTACATGCAGTCATGTAAAAATGTTCTAACACTGTCATACATGTATCTACCCTAAGTCATGTGTATGTCTAAGGTCTATGTTAATGTTATATGTATGTGCTTTACAATACATGGTGCTGGATAATTGTTTCAAAGTGATAGATTCCATGACAACAAAGGTCAAATTTAAAACTTACAAAAATTAACATAAATGTACATTTACACACACATCTTACATTATAAAAAAGCAACTGTTTTCCACAGACAGTACATTTGTACATGTACATTTTCTCAGCAATGATCCCCCCCCCCCATCAGAGCAAAAACTGTTTACAAATACACATATAGTGAGACTAACCTAGAGACTGCACATCCATTTCCACGATGGGGAAATTCTTAATGACCTCCATAACATCCTCGTACTCTTCATCTGTCATGTTCCTCAGTAATGCCCTTCAGACACATACAACAACGTCACACAGGCCTGACATGTACATGTACAAGTACCTGCATCATTATCTACATGATTGTCTTCACCACTGGTAAAACGTAAATGTAGCACCAACTGGAAAAGCTGTTGAGAATTCCACACTGCTAGGTATGCAATCTTTACAGTCAAATACAAGTCATGTTTTCTTGGTAAATGTGTACATTCTGACCATAAAAAAAACACCCTGGTGCTGAAAATTACAGTTGATCTTTCAAAATGGTATGTAAAAGTTTACTGTACATACAGTATAGGGATATAGCTGTATTTCAAACTTGAAAGAGGGTCTGCATGGGGGGTCCTGGCAACGGTTGACGGTAAATTCAGCAGGACCGGTAACGCTTAACGGTAAATTCAGGACGGTCGGCAACGCTTAACGGTAAATTAACAGGTTTTTTTTCGAGCTGCACTGGATTTGGTATCTCGCTTTGTGAGATCACTGACAAAATTACGTATACCTTACATGTAATGAAGCACGCATGAAAGGTATGTGTTCCCTGTGTTTCCCACCTGCCCTGGTCCCCGAGTGCGTCCACAAATAAAGGGAAGTCCCAGTCGACGTCGGCAAAGGCTCTACCCAGCTTGACTTTTTTCCGTTCGCCCAGATTTACCGATGGATTTTGAGCGGATAGCGCCTGGCGCTCGCAATCTGAGGGGAAATTTATGATTTTTAAGCCTTCAAAAACGCAATCTCCCGCATTTTGAGAGGCAAATCATGGTGTGAGAGTGTTTGTCGGTCCTGATGTTTTCATATTTTTACTCAAGATTTTTGTTAATTTTGTCTGTCAAGGTTGACGGATTCGTTAAAAAAATTCTGTAACTCTCCGCAAACTTCCGGTAATGGACAGAAAACTGGTCAAAAATGCGCTAGCAATCTAGGGGGGTCCGGGGGCATTCTCCCCCGGGAAATTTTGTATTTTTAAACCTTCAATGACGCATTTTCCTGCATTTTGAAAGGCAAAATTATGCGTAACGAAGAATTATTCATTAACGCTTAACGCTGAATTTAGGACGACAAATAACGTTTTACGTTGAATTAAAACGACCAATAACGCTTCACGAGGAATATACTTATAACGCTTAACGTTGAATTAGAGCGTGCCGGCAACGATTAACGGTAAATTAAAATAGGCCATAACGGTTAACGAAAAAGGGCATGCAGACCCTCTTGAAATGCTCAGGGCTTTATCATGTTTTTTACTTTGGCCAAACGTGGTGAATAATTTTATGATATTTGAGATTTTATGTTTAAGACACACAATGAATGAACTGAAACATGCAGGTAACTTTGAGGTAAGGTTACTACCCTATACTATACATGTAGCTTTAAACAATCTGTATGACCATCATTTCTTCACAGATAGCCCAGCATGATAACAACATGTACAATAGTCTCACCTCCTGTCTTTCTCATCCATGGTAGCCAGCTGCCGAATGCTGCGGATGTTTCTCTGTAGTGACACAAACAATACAGATCTCAAAATTCTTTTTTCTGAATAGGTGCACCCAACCTAAAATATTGGGTGTACAAAAATATTTTTGATGCACCATGTAAAAGAAAATAAGAATGTAGAATGTTAGCAAAAACTAACATGTTTCATATCTAAAGCAACGCACTACTACACTATTATTTTTCTGACACTTAGAATTTAAGAATATGCTTTATACTACTATAATACATTTAACATTTTTACATTATGTAAACCTATGAAAATATTTAGGTGCACTGGTGCACCCACAGAAAAAAGTTTGGTGCACAGCTCCAAATTTGGGTGCACTGAGGTGCACATGCACCCAGTATTTTGAGCCCTGCAATGTCATATTTCCTAACCTTTCAGCCTAACCTTACAACCAGCAAAAATATTCAAAAAGGCTTTTCTTGGAAAAGGACTTAATGTACCTGTAATACAGAAGTCTACTACATAATGAATGAGTGACACCAAAAGGGTTTTCTAGGACGAAGTCTTCCAGGACCAAGTTCCAAATTAAATTTTTGTACTTCAAATATGTATAATTATTATAAGTTCAGAGTTCCATTAATTTTTTTCCAATTATGATAGATAGCAAAACAAACAGCTTTTAAAACATGTACATGAATGTAAAGAGTTTTCAAACAATATTGACAAATAAAAATTGATTTTGATGATATTGAAGCTTTTTTTCGGCAGCAAAATTGCAATTGAGTGTATTTCTTGTGTCACATGCTATGTTAGAATGCCCCCTAGTATTAAATGCAATCAACTGTGCTTGGATTAGTCCTTCAGACATACATCGTACATGTAGCCAGATATTGACACATCTCCATCCTGTTAGAAAAGTACCACAGTGTAGACCTACTCTCTTGGAGACGAAGTGTCTGAGGTTGTCCTCCCTGATGTGAGGCAGCTGCAGTAGAGGAGACTTGTTATCCCACAGACCCTGCACTGTCATCTGGGACAGCTTCATACAGTTCTCTATGGTCTCCAGACGGGGCAGGTTAGACACTGGGGAAGGAAAAAACATGGTTCTGTTGCGTCGATGAAGGTTAGACATCCAGGTAATACCATACGCCAAAAAGCAGTAACTCAAACAACTGGATATGATTTTGGAAACAGCCAGACGTTTCAGCTAGTGGAAATGCAGGTTTAAACCTGCATATCTCCTCTGGTCTCTCAGTCACTGACGAAAGCTAGTGGATACTAGCTGAAACGTTTGACCGTTTCCAAAATCATATCCAGTTGCTTGAGTAATTGCTTTTTGGCACATGGTTCCGTTGAATGGAGAAATTATATTTCAGTCCATACCATATAGGTATGGATAATATTGTGTTTCCTAATTTTCATTAAATGGATTCATTTTCTTCATTTTTTAAACCAAATTGTGTATGGGGATGTACATGTAAATGGCTGCGCTCACTTGGTAGCTTTATTCGGTGGTTATAGCATATTCACCAGCATATAACATTGCATATAACCCTTAAATTGAGTTCCATGTAGCTGACCAGAAATAAATGTCCTTGTGGGTAGTCTTTACGGCTTCAAACCTCAGCGAGGTCATACCAAACTAAATGGTGAAAAATTTAATACATTATTTAATTTTACACATCTCTGCTTAGCACTCAGCACTTATTAGAGAGTATGTTAGGTGGAACATGCCCACTACCAGTATACTACAACCAGGGGTCTCACCAGGCTTTTTTCACTGTGTAGGGGCCATGTATAGAATGCAACTTTCCATGGCAAAAGTCGTGCACTGAGTCCCCAAAACATGACCACAGGAGGGGGTCTGGTATTCTCCCCAAAAACTCAGAGGTAACCCCCTTACACAATGTTTCTTGCTTATTGGGGGACAGATTTTGTTGTCTCTTTGTTATAGCTTTATTCTAAAGTTATAGTTTCATTTTTTGAGAGATTTATGAAGGTTTCCCCCCCCCCCAACAAAACACCCCTACACTGGTTCAAAGACAGTGTAGGGGGCTACATGTACATTGTAAACAGCGCAGGGGGTGCAAATCACAGTATAGGGGGCCCCTACCCTTAAATAGCTCCCTGCTATAGTGGCCCTGTGTGGCTATACAACACAGACATGCACCAGCTGACCGTACCTCTGCCGGCATGAGCCAGTGCCACCAGCTGGGCCACCACCTGAACCATCTCCTGTACCAGGGTGGGGCACTTCCGCAGGATCAGCTGACGGTCTGCAACAGACACGCACCGGTTAGAGGACCACTACGGTCCATAGAATACGATTTTAGTAATAACCTTAAGTAAAAAAATGCATATTACTTTATACGTACTACATATTGTAGTCAGTGTTAGAAAATATGTATGTAGTCTGCATTTTACAGAGACGTGTAATATTGCAGAAGAAAAATTAAGCAACCTGCAACTTTGCTGAATAATGAACAATGAGGCTAGTTATAGTACATTTTTCCCTCAAAAATATCAGTTACATTAAAAGTAAGCTATGGGATATAAAATCAACTTTATTGCTCAACAAATGTATCTGGTACAATGTATGGCAAGGAGAAAACAAGGGTAGATACATGAACTATACTAACTATGCTATGGCATTGGATTGATTCAACTTACTTCATTGAAGGAACGTCCAGAAAATTGACTTGAAAAATACAGTTTGCTGCCCTGAAATTGCATTGAATGTCTTTAGTTTCTAGTTTCAACCTTCTGCCCTTACCGAGCTCCAGAGTCTTGGGAGGCAGGTCAATCCTGCTGAAGTGAGCGTGCACCAGACAGCGCGCCTTGATGCTGTAGGGATAGCACAGGGGGCGCTCCTTACTCTTCTCATTCAGCTGACTCAGTTCTCGCATCAGCTGCAGCACAGCACAAGAACATTAGATCATAACAGTTAGGTAAAAAAGATACTCCCATGGCCTTCTTTTGAGGCTGTAGGGGCAGTGGGTTGTTAGTCCACTGTGCCTAGCTGCTTATTATGGCTTCACCACTATGTGGGCATGAGTCATCAGAATGGCATGTAGAGCAAGCAACCAATAGGCATGCAGCTTTCCTCTATTCTTCTTGCTGATTGGCTGTTGGGATATGATTGGGTTAACTCAATTAACACCTGTACAAAGCCATGTATGAACTGCATTCAAGTGTTTTGGTAGGTATGTCAAGCTTTCCTGATCCAGCATTGGAATGCGGGGCATAAACGCTTCTTTTTATCTTGAAAATCAAAAGTTTGCATTATGTAATTAAAAATCCTAACCAATAATGTAGGGGAGCTCAAACTGTTGTCACATCATACTATAGTTATATCAATATAAAGCATTATTGTTTTCCCTTGTATTTCTCCTTCTTTCCCGCTGCCATGTTGTGTGAAATGTGGTGAAGTCATGCTGAATTTGCAAATGTCAGCCTTTCTAGTTTTGTCTTGCAACACTACATCATGTACATGTAGTTTGACCATGAATAACCAAAGCGCTATGGCAGTCTAAAGCAGACGTTAGAGGTGTTACCCAGGAGGTCTGACCAGTCCCAGTGGATCAACTGCCTTGTGTGATATTCACTCTTTGGACTTTTAAGTCATTAAAATGACATTTATGATAAACTTGACAAGTGTGATCTTACCTGAGGAAGTTCTACGTTGTCGCTGGGTCTCTCCATAACCTCATGGTTATGACCTTTTTCAAATTCAAAAGATGCTGCCAGGATCATCACTGCTCCTATAGCAGGAAAACATATAGAAGGGTCATTTATGCTTGCATCAGCATTATCTGAAATAAAATCAGCTGATAAAAACTTAATTTCATCTATCAATAAAACATATTATTTTGGGGTCTGTCAAAGCAACACAGTCATGATCTCTGCAAGATCATTTTAATATATAACACTGTTTTCACACATGAATGGATCATAATTTATCATTCGTGCTACATACAATATTATTATACAGTGTACAGACAGAGGTTTGTGATCAAACCAAAATACAAGATACTGTATATGTAGAAGACTGGCAGAAAAAAAACTTACTTTTTACATTCATATTGGGAGTTTTGTTGAAGAAGTAATAGTAGAGTTGAGTGGTGTCCAGTAAAACTTGGTCAGCACTATATTTGATGGAGCGGTACCACCAGGTGCCCTGTAGGAGACAAAGCAGGTATACAATTATAGAAGTCCAGGGCTGGAAATACTGGGTGCATGTGCACCTTAGTGCACCCAAATTTGGAGCTGTGCACCCAAATTTTTTCTGTGGGTGCACCAGTGCATCCAAATATATTCATAGGTTCAAATTTATAGTAGTATACAGCATATTCTTAACATCTAAGTGTCAGAAAAATCCAGTTGCTTGAGTAACAGTGTTTTCTTGTATATCTCAACATCAGGATGGCTAAGGTCACAACAATTCAATTTCTTGATTAACAGATTGGCCCGCTTCATTTTTTTGCAAAAAAAAAAATTCAGAATCAACTGCAAAAGGCTCATATTTTGCCCTGAACAGTTGAAAACGGTCCTTTTCTTCCTAGTTGTTACAGTTATGCTATCTTTCAATGCAGTGGTATCATTTAAAGTTCAAAATTCATTGTTAAAATTTTGAACCAGCCTGGTCTGTTGACTTCAGGGCTCCTATCGTACCATTTTGGGCCATAATAGGATGCCTAGGCCTGTTTTTATTTTTTTTAATTTTTTTTGCCCGCCCACTCCATTTAATCTTATTTCAATTTATTTTTCTAGAAAAATCTGAGAAAACCAAGAAATTAAATTATTGTGGCCTTACCTTCATCGATGTACACTGTGCCATGGTCTTGGAATCATGGCACTGGGAAGTTTTTAAATATGTCCGACTTACCACAGCAACAGGCATGATGACCATGAAGGCTACTCCATACGCTGCCAGAACCCACATGGAGTTCTTACTGTCCACAATCCAGGACGGCAGGGCAATGCCAAACGTGGTCGCTACAAAAGGAGAAACATGGGAATCAAACTTATGCCATTAATAAACAAAAGTACTGCATATGAGAATCAAACATTTTCATGGATAAACTAGAGGTCGGAGATCTCATGTCTTCGTCAGAGGGACATTGTTCTAGATAAAGGAACGTTTTTTAATACTAGAAATCAATTTAGTCTAGAGTACAAAAGAATCTCTGTACTCCTTTTTTTCCTTTTTTTTATTCTACGACAGTGTCGCAAAATGTAATGAGAAGATGTGATGAAAGGAAAGAATCCGAAGAGGGGGAGATTTATTGCTGTTTTCCTTTGTTGTTGCACTATGTTCTTCTATTCAATTTGCATCCTAATCTTTGTATTTCCACAGTTAGTATGTTCCAAATCTGTGCATGTTAATCAGGTTTTTTTGGCCTTCGTGTAGTTTATCGCGCTTTTGCAATAAATTTAAGGTCTCCAGTGGACGTCATCCATAAAAATTACTTGGTCTGGCCTTACAATTAGGGAATGACCTGCCTGACGCATGTCCACCTTTTTCCTCCCCCGCCCCAGTATTTATAGGACAGCCCCTCAATTGTAAGCAATTGATACCAGATGCGGCCGGGGACAGCTGTCCCCACGTGAATCAATGCAGAGGTTGTTGGGGGTAGTTCATTATATACCTAACACAAAAGGTCCACTGCAGCGACATAGGGACCCCCCACGAGGCCCGTTTTCGAACTTGACCTTGGCATGAGGTAGGTTGCCTACCAAAAATCAGGAACATCTGTTTAAATATACTCGAGTTATTTTGCTAACAAGCTACAAACACAAAAAAGTCCACTGCAGTAACGTACTGACCCCCCACGAAGCCCAAACTTGCACTTGGCATTGGCCTCCACAACGGTAATCTGCCTGCCAAAAATCATGGACGTCGAATAATGCCTTCAAGAGTTATTCCGCTAAATCCGCAGTCACCCACAATGCGGCGAGACAATTTCATAGTCCTTCTGACGAAGACAATAAACTGAAACTTATGTCATTCATACAACAGTAACTATACATGAGAATCAAACTTATGCCATTCATACAATGATACAACAGTACTGTACTCGATTTTTCATGGATCAAAAAAGTCATAATCCTCTTTCGGATACATTTATTGAGTATCTGACTTAGAATTTTGCTCAAATTTCAGTATCATGTTGGAATTGTGTGAAAAGAAGTATTGTACACTACATACATTTTTACATGTACATGTACATGTATATGTGACAAATGTTACCTTGTGGTCCATCTGGGTTCCCATATTCCTCCCAGTTCTTCCTTGTCTCTTCATCAGTCAAACTGGATTTGAGAAGATATCAAGCTGAGTTTAACAGTAAAAGTAAACCTACAATCTAATCAAGGAGACTACCTATAGAACATCATGTGTAACATGTAGCATTGAATTGTTCCAAAATCTTATTACATGTAGCAGTAGCTGATCACATTATCTAATACTGAAATATTAAGAGATTCTGAAGCTGATAAAACGACTTTTTGTAAACAAAAGTTTCTTTCCAACAGAAAAGAACTTCTATATGCCTGTACTGTACATGATTGTACATGACACATGTATAACACTAACACTACTACACAGTAACAGTTACTGTAGTTACATGTAGAAGCTCTCACAAATCTGGTCAATGTGGTATAAAATACAACCAGGTAGAATACAACTGAAATGGTGAGATTAAAAACATTCTAAACAGTTTAAAAAAAGGATGCTCTCTCTCTAGGCTAGACTTGATTTTAAAAATGTTTTGGGGAATACACAATTCATATTAACGTGCATGAATATTCTCATCCTCTGCAAACTTGACAGTTTCTTGTACATTTGTATTTTCCTCTGCAGGTGCAGGAGGGCTTCAGAGAGCCTGCATACTAAAGGGTTCTCACCAGAAATTTTATCATATTGCAGGGGTCAGGTACATGTACAGAAGGACAACTTTCTATGGCTCAAGTTGCTTGAGACCAGTCCCTGAAACCTGACCACAGCAGGGCCCCTACGCTCAAATAGCCTAGTGAGAACTATGATACTGTATATACACAAAGTAGCTGGACCTGGAAATGATAACAAGACCCCACTGTGCATGACAGTTGATACTCACGCCTGATATGCCTTGGCAATCTTGCGGAAGGTGTCCTCATCACCACCTTTATCAGGATGGTGTTTCAGACTCAGCAGGCGATACTGACGACGCACATCTGCTTGACTCGCTCCCTAAAAAGGACAGTTCAGACTCAGTCATTTAGTAGCTCACTTCACAAATTTATGTCTTTATTGTGAAAAAAGGTATCATAAAACTTTAAAAGGAAAAAGACAAGAAATTGCCTCTATTTTTTTGTGATTCCCCCCCAAAAAAGATTCAGGTTCTGAATTAATGCTAAAATGATCAACAGTTGAAGAAAGTTCCTTGCAATTGTCAGATCCCAAGTTGTTACAAGTAATCTGGAAGAACTCAGAGATCTCAGACTTATGGGAAGAATGCAATTTTCTGGCTTCCAACCGTGACTTTCCCCTACTCACTCAGACTGTCTCCCAGCTAGATTCTGAGACCTCTGAAGTCAAGTTTTATTTCTTCACCCACCCATGTGCTGTCAACCTACTCTGGACCAGGGCTCTCCCCAAGCAATGGAGCAAGGGTGCTCCCCCTCTCCCCAAAATCCTAGAACCTCTGCCAAAATGTTCAAAGTTTAGGACTTTCTCTTGGTATTTACACGAAAATTTGATTTTTCATCAACCGATTAGGGAGCACCTCTCCCCTCAGAATTTATGGGAAGACCCTTCTGAAGCTAGACAGACAAACCCAGGAACTCTAATACATACATGTACTTGACACCAAAACACACTTGACACCATAAATTCTTTAAATTCACCCAAACAACAATTCATTGACAACCTGTTAAGACAATCTTGTTAAATGGGAATGACATACCAAAAGCATGATGCATGTTATACAATGTAATTATTGAGTCCAAAGCCTTACTCTGTCTATCTGCAGGATCTCGTACGGGTCATATTCCACATGGTCCCGCTCTACTTGAGAAGACTTGTACGCCAGGATAAGGAAGATGATCCATCCTATCGCCAAGATGACTTTCCTGTCAGAAGATAATTATGTCAACATAGATAACATGAACACAGATAACAGATAACATTTCTCTTACAATTTACATACAATGTAACTCAACACATACATTACAATGCAGGGTTTGAAATTCATTTTGGGGAATAGGTGCACCCAACCTAAAAAAATTAGGTACACAAAAAAATGTTTGGGTGCACCATAAGAAACAAAACCTATTTGCAAGTCTTACTGCTCCTCTTCTCACAGCTTGAATCTAAAAGTAAAATGAGAGCTTTAATTATAAGTTTAACTTTAAAATCTTAAACAAGTACTACAACAAAGATTTTATTATTTTTCTGATACGTAGAGTCCAAGAATATCCAGTATAATATATTTCTAATGTAAAAAATTCCTACAGAAATATTGCACCAGTGCACCCACAGAAATAAATTGGGTGCACAACTCCAATTTTGGGTGCACTAAGGTGCACATGCACCCAGTATTACGAGCCCTGTGATGTAAATCAATGACATAAATGAACCAAGACTTAGTGACATACTTAGCAGTTGACTTGGCCTTTGACCGTGTCTTGTTCAGTTTGAGTTGGTACCACAGACTGTGGCTGTGGACCTTTTCCAGCTTCTGTAGACGTTTTTCTTCTGTAAAAAACAAAAATGTACACTCACTCATTCACTATCCGGTAATGAAATGGATAAATTGTATTGTATGTGTTGTATTTTATTATGGGTTCACCACACCACGAAGTGGTGGTGAACCCATATTGCTTTTTCTGATGTTTCTTCTTCTTCTTCTTCTTCTCCTCCTGCCATTTTTTAAATGGATTCAGCTTCTTCATTTTAGGGCCCAAGGTCCTGAAATTTGGTATGGAGGTACAGTGGGCAAATACCCCTAGGCGTTTTTTTAAATTATTGTGATACAGGCTTTTAGAATGGTTTTATTTGAGTTTTTTGGCTGTGTTATAGCAAATGTATTACTGTGTTAGTGTGCCTTGTTTACCACGTTTGGGCATGAGTCATCACAATGGAATGCAGGGCATCAACCAATAGGCATGCAGCTTTCCTCTATACTTCTTGCTGATTGGCTGTTGGGATTTAACTTGATTAACACCTGCACAGAGCATTTCCACCTGCACAGAGCATTTCTTGCTGATTGGCTGTTGGGATTTAACTTGATTAACACCTGCACAGAGCATTTCCATACTGACAGTATGTCTGTATTCAAGTGTTTTGGTAGGTATTTCAAGCTTTCCTGCTCCAGCATTGGAATGCGGGGCATGGACGTTTTTTTATTTATTTTGAAAATCAACAGTTTGCATTATGCAATTAAAAATCCTAACCAATAAAGTAGGGAATAGCTATCCAACTGTTGTTTTAGTTGTATGTTACTTCATATTATAGTTATATCAATGTAAATCATTGTTTTCCCTTGTGTTTCTCATTCTTTCCCTGCCATGTCGTAAAATGTGGTGAACCCATCGCTGTATTTGCTCCAAAGCAAATATTGGCCTTTCTAGTTTAATATGTCATAACTACCCAAGAAAACAAATATTCCAATGTCAAATGTGCCAAAATTTGGTGTCCTTAAACAAAATATTTTAAAAAGCACACTCAGTGCACATGAAAGTTGATGAAACCAAGGAGGTTCAAACCTCCTTGATGAAACACATCTAAATTATTCTATACAAATTACAATGTATATATATGTATATGGAACCCCATATGAAACATGTACATTTATAATTATATCTAGTTATGACATGAGCTTGTACAAAGACTTGAACAAAGACATAAAGACTGATTGTGATGTACATACATGTACTGGTATATTTTCAATTGCTCTATTCAGTTGTTAAAGCATATTATTGAATCAACCCTTACAATGTATATGTAGCATTGCCCAATGATGTTCTGGGAGTGGGAGTGATCATTTATAAACACGTTTAAAAACTCTGATCTTCAAAGAAGCCTATAGATACAACATGATGAACATTTCTACCTGATTTACATGATGAACACTTACACCTGATTTACAATCAGTGGTCGAAATACTTTTTTTCAGTGCTCTGCAATATTGCAGAAGAGTAAGAATTTTGTTCTGCAATTTGGAAATACTTTCTGCAAATACACAAGCCTCCATACTACAATCTTGCAGGTTTATAAGCATGAAGTATTGATTGATATGCAAATTAGTGAAGACAAATTTTTGGAAGTCGAAAAGGAAACAAAAGATAAACAAGTCAAGACAAGGTTGATGCAAATTAGTGTTGTCTGTCCTTGGGGCCAAAAGTGTCAAATCCCAAGTGCCAATTTTTCCTGCTGCAAAATTGCAGATTGTATAATTTTTTCTTCTGCAATCTTGAAAATCTATCTGCAGATTGCAGACTGCAGACAGGTATTTCGAACACTGACAATGAACTTGATCATGAAGACAAAACCAATGGTTGTATGTCTGCACCCTACACATACCATTTGAATGCAATTTGATGGTCAACCTTCAAGCTGGTTTTAAAGTGATGTCGTTTGTTTAAAGGTGTAGCATTGGGGTTGTTGTTTTTTTCTATATTTGTAAAACACTTAATAGCTAAGAATTTTCTTCTTCTCATTCTCATTTCAGTGCCTCACAAGTGTCACGGGGAGGATAACATGTAGTCAAGACAGAGTATGGCACATCGAGAGTCAAGATAAACATGTAGGAGGGCCTGCATGGGGGGTAGTGATTACGAATTACACAAAATGTTCGCCGCCAATTACGAATTACGTTTAAGTCTCAGAGCTGATTACAACTTAACGCTTTGCAGGTAATGGTCTATTACGAATTAATTTGATTTTTGCAGAGGCTGCCTACGGATTACGAAGACTAAAAAGTCCTGATTATACCTTATGAAAAAGGGCATGCAGGCCCCCATGTAGCCCTTTCCCCACATACAGCTGAAAAGAAACTGCTGCACTAAAGCTGCGCTCATAGGAACAAACGATGAATGACTGTCGGGCTGCTGTAAGATACTGGAATAAGTTTTTTCACAGTACTTTAATGTTCACATTTTCATGGTCGCTTCTATACCACAAACTTCTGCAACTACAACTTATTTGTTAACAAATAACTCTTTTTTCTGAACCTGCTACCACCATGCACACCTCCATTTTTCTTAATAATCTTATTAACTTAATAAAGTGAATTACAGTAAAGTTTGCACACAGATTCTAACATAACTGCTTGCAGTTTTTATGGGAAAATATACTCTGATGTTTACATAAATGTTTCCAATAAGATCTGGGTGTCATATGCATGCCATTTGCCTTCATGTAGTTAGCCTGGAATGTGATATAATAAATTATCATATATCCCACAAGTGTAGTATGTTGCAGAGACTATTTGTGATGATTTTCAGAAGTGTAGGATGCTTTTGCATAGTTCACAACCAGCATGAGGATAAGATGATAGAAACGGTAAAGTAGGACTATCGGATGTATCCTTTAGAGACAGAAACACAAGGTAAACATTTTATGTAAAGTAGGCTTCCGGGTATTAAACATGGGTCGCACTCACTACTGTCCACGTAACGTTCAGACTACATTTTTTTCCAAGCCGTTTTGCCAAACATCGGGCGGTCATTCATTTCATCGAAAAGACAACAAGAAAGCCACTGTACCTTCTACTTGTCCCTTGGGCCACAAATAATACGTCACAGGCAACAGAAACAGTATCCATACGGACGTTAGGAAATAAAGAAAAGTTCCTCCGCTCTCATCGTACTCGAACTGAGCACCCGCCATTTTGAATCGCGTTCAGGAAACAGAAGGCGACATTCGTCTCGCACGATTCGAAGTGTTTTGGACAAATAAAGCATAGCGCGACATTCGTCTTATATGATTCGTAGTTCTCGAATAATGTTACTATCGGATCTAAGGCCAGAAGTGAGATAGAGAATGATATATTCCTGAACACATGTTAGCAGTCAATTTTGACTAATAATTTTCTACATTAAAAGACGAAAACTTGTATTCGGAAAATAAAAGCGCACACAAAATACAATACCGACCCCCCAAACAGCGTTGGAACGGTCCAGTTCTTCATCCATCATGGCGTCGCGCGGCAGAAAAAGAGCGGACGTGGTGGAGCAAGAAGACGTGCTACAGGCTGTCATCATCGCCGACAGCTTTGATGTCAGGTTTGCACCCATCACGAAGGACGTACCACGGGTAGGACTGAATTCTTACACATCTTTAACATCCAACTGTCCCCATGAAACCCCGTCTGTATTATGGTACTCTCCAAGCAGATACCGGGTACCTTGATACCAGAGGTTGGTTGGGAAGATAATTTTGCAACCTCCTTCAGACTGGTTATTTTTCTGCCAGTCAGTCCATCCAACGGGCCTGAGGAAAGGAGACAAGTCAGAAGAAGGTTACAAATCCCCCCAACCTAATGAGTTTGCCTGCTCATGATCATATTTCCACTTTCAGGGACACTATATAGTAACATCTGGTACTTTTATACTAGATCCAAGCAGAGATCCCTCTGAATCTCAGGGATCTACCCTACCAGGAGAGACTGAAGACCTTAGGTCTTCCCTCCCTACAGTATAGGAGGCGCAGAGGAGACATGATACAGGTATTAAAACTAGCAAGAGGGCTGGAGGGAATCCAACTCGAATCCTTCTTCAAGAAGCGAACAGAAGGATCAACAAGAGGGCACAGTTGCAAACTGGAGGTCCCTTTGGCCAAGGGAAGAGTTAGACGACAGTCATTTAGCGTCCGGGTCGTTAGGGATTGGAACAGTCTACCACAGGCCGTAATTGACTCAGAGTCAGTAAATGAGTTCAAGACGAACCTAGACAAATACTGGGAGAGCAAAAAGTATAACACTGAGTGAAGTCGAGATCGGGATCACCACAGGATTACCTCTCATCCCGAAGACGGTATCAAGGTATCAAGGTATCAAGAGATGGTAGCTAAGATTGTTACCTAGGGAAGTAACAGAAAACACGGGGCACCCATAGAAAGGTAACAATCTTCCCCACCAACCTCTGCTTGGAGAGTAGTACTTTTACAACTTCGGACACTCAGTTCTTTCACTATTCCCCTTTAAACAGTTGTTAGATCTGATGACCCCCCACTCCCCATCCCAGGCAGATACCAATCACTGCAAAAGAAAGTTCTATAAAATTATCAGATGTACTTGACGAATGTGCTGAATGTTAGTGGGTAAATACTATATTCAATGGGCAGGGGTGCCAGAGTATACAGTACAATTTTACGGAATTTTACTTGTGATGTTGAATCACGTGACTTGGACCCTGCTTTCCTTGAGTTTCAAGATGGTGGACGCTGCTGACTCACATATTTCTGTGTTTTTCGAGGGAATTTGAAATGATCCCTGTGTAGTAACATGCCCTGTGTTGTGATTTGACTGAAGGTCTATCTACAAGAACGGTCCAAATTTGCTCGAAAAACACAGAAGTATGTGAGTACGCTCCGTTAGCAGCGTCCTGGGAAAGCCGCGTCCAGGTTACGTCATTCAATATCACTAGTAAAATTGCACTGTATTCGGTAAAATTGCACTGTATACTAATACCATTGCACTGTATTCCATAAAATTGCACTGTATACTAGTAAAATTGCACTGTATTCCGTAAAACTGCACTGTATATCTCTGGCACCCCAGATGGGGTTACTCAATGGTGCTAGTGTGAGTTGGTTGACGTTTGCCTCCTGTGATTCTATCCAGGCCCTGATGCCGGTAGCCAACAGACCCCTGCTGGAGTACACACTACACTTCCTGGTGGCTGCAGGGATACAGGAGATCTGTGTCTTCTGTTGTTCTCATGCTAACAAGATTGTCCAATATCTCAGGTAACTGGAACATGCACGCATGCACTGATGCATGCACGGATGTCATCCATAAAAATTACTTGGTGTGGCCTAATTTTCTTTTTAATTGTTTTTATATAGTAATAGTGACTGTACAGAGATCTGTATACAGACCCTGTGTGTTTATGTCAGTGATGCAGGTTGGACCAGTGATGCAGCACCGTGCCAGGTGACAACACAGGTGTCAGAAGACAGTCTGTCACCTGGAGATGCTCTCAGGTTGATCTATGACCGCTCCCTGATCAGGTATGCCCCAGTCTTCTTAGGGACTGTACAATATTTAGCGGGGGGGGCTGTCTGGGGATAGGGTTAAAATTTTCTCCTTAGCCCCAAATTCAGGTAATTTCATTTTGGGAGTATTGAAAACCGCCATTTGCAATATGCTGCCCCTGGATAAATAATTGAAAAATGAAATGTTGGAATAGTCCATTTGTTGGTAGAACTAACTTTGGTATGGTCCATTTCTGCAAAAGGTTGATATGGAAGTGTACATTTTTGCATGGGGAGTGAGATGTATTATAATGTTTTGAGGAGAGGGCTTCTTAGAACTTATATATGACTATGTAAGCATTCTGCTTTTTGCCCAATCCTCAACAGATGAATAAGATTAATAAAATGTCTGACCCAAGATACCAATGCATGCATGTGGAGTTAGTGTGCTTCCCTGTAGATATGATAAGTTGATATGAGAAGTATTTATGTTAACATCTGTATTTTGAACCCTGCAGGACAGACTTTGTGTTAGTTATGGGAGACCTCGTATCCACCATCAACTTACAGCCAATCATACAGCAGCATAAGTATGTCTGTCTCCTATTCACACGGACATGTTCATATTCAATTATATCATAAATATACACAATGTACCAGCACAGAAGAACTTTATTCCTCTAGGCCACACCAATTTAATTTCTTGGTTAACGGATTTTTCGAGGAAAATAATGGAGCGGGCGGGCGAAAAAATAAAAAAAATGAAAACAGGCCTAGGCATCCTATTATATAGCCAAAAATGGTACGATAGGAGCCATGAAGTCAACACACCAGGCTGGTTCAAAATTTAAACAATTAATTTTGAACTTTAAATGATACCAATGCATTATAAGATGGAATAACTGTAACAGCTAGGAAGAAAATGACTGTTTTCAACTGTTCAGGGCAAAATATGAGCATTTTGCAGTTGATTCTGAATGAATCTGAATTTTTTTTGGCAAATCAGACAAAAAATGAAGCGGGCGAATCCGTTAACCAAGAAATTAAATATTTGGTGTGGCATTATGGCATACAACCAACTCCAATGAATAGATGCACCAGTTTGTTAAAAATTATTGGCTATATGATAATATCTGCTGTAACAGTGGGTAACCAGTGTTGTAACAGTGGGTAACCAGTCTCAGCACTGGGTAACCAGTGCTGAGAACCCCTCTGCCGCCATTCTGCCGCGCGTTGAGCACTGGTAACCGAGTGCTGACAGGATTCTGGCACTGGAACACCAGTGCTGAAAGGATTTCAGCACTGGAAACCGAGTGCTGAGACAACGTTCAGCACTGGAACACCAGTGGTGAGGGTGCTTCAGCACTGGGAAAAGGCCGGGAACACCAGTGCTCGGCTCTCGTCGGCACTGGACGTCCAGTGCTGACGCCGTTTTGTCCATTGAATCAGCACTGGAACACCAGTGCGGAAGGCGTGGCTTTCGTAGACTTGCTCCAGTGCACCTATTCCCAAAAATGAATTTCGAGCCCTGTCTGAACACCTTTTATTTGAGCAGGTTATTATTAAACATCTATTGTTTGATGATACAGAGTGTTAACATGAAACCTTTGTTTTCTACCAGACAGCGTAGGTTGAAGGACAAAGTGACAGTGATGACCATGGTGTTCAGGGAGGCCGCACCGAGGCATCATACCAGGTACACATGTATGCGATAGAAAAATTAAACATACCTGGTCCGGTACATTGAACACAAACACACCCAGAGGATATTCCCTCCACTTTTCACTCTGTTATCCAACATGTATAGATTTAGATCCAGTTATTTCACAGGCCCAGGAAAAAATGTTGTATTTTCTGTTTCAGTCCTGAAAATATTAGGGTCGGTAGGTAGGGATTATCTTTTTTTTTTCTTTTCAATTAGACTTAAGCAATCTTTGGCAATCATTTTTGAACATACAGTAGTTAAGAAGGAGGTACGTGTAGTGATTTCATCTTTGTGTTAAAACTTGCATTTGATGTAGCAAATAAACATGTTGCCTTGCAGGAGTTCAGATGATGATGTGGTGTTGGTGACAGAGAAGGACACTGACCGAGTACTTCATTATCAGATGGTAGAAGGACAGAGCAAGTTAGACCTGCCACTGGTATGTCATTACATTAGTCTGAAACTGCTTTCCATGTCCAAGTTACTGCATGTTTATGTTAGCAAAAGTGTGCAGTCTGAGAAAAATGGAAGTGCTCAAAGGACTATTATAATACTTTCACTGTGGCAGTACAGTACATGTAGGTGCAGAAAAAGAAAATCAGTGTTTTGTTAACGGTAATGATAAGTTTGTGGTAGAAAAGTAACTGTGAACATAAAAGTAATGCGAAAAATCAGGGATAACAGTACTGGCAAAGGATAGCACATTCACACAGTCACACAATATAAAAGCAAGGCACCTTGATATATGTACAATGTAATTACATTGGGGTACATTATGAAGTACTAGTATTGTTTTGAGTGGGTGTACATGTAAGTTTGTACATGTCACAGTGTGCAAAATACCTGGTTGCCCTATTTTCGAACCCTGGTAGCTCAGTGTGCTACCTGAATTTTAAGGTCGCAGAATACAGTAATTATCCGCGACCCCCGGAGTCTATGACGCAGGTATAGAAAGTAGTGCAGACAAACCTCTTGCATCCTGGCTAAAGCGACTTATGTGAGAAGTAGCCACGAATGAACTGCACTGTGTGGTAAGGAAAGGTATCGGCTTGTACACCGTATTAGTTGGATTGTGAAGATTTCCCTGTTCGTGTATAAATGCGCGGCATTACGCAACCACGTTCCAGGGTGAGCCGGCTGTAGTTCCGTTGACCCCGGTAGAGGGCCAAATCAAAGTGGTCGTCATTATGTTAAAAAACGATAACTTTTTTTGGTTTTCAGTTATTTTGTAGAATATACCGTATATTTCAACATATTAGTTGGCCGTGATTCAATAGTGCACCCTACTATAATTTTTACCGCGTCGAAGTGAGTCACCTTGGGGTGCTTAACTTTAGGAATCCCCATAGGCCGAAAACTGTGTTCTGCTACCTTAAGAATGCCCCCCCCCCCAAATCATGCCCACTTAGCTTGCACCACTGTAGCCGGCAGATGCTTTTTTAATTTTACTTTTAGGTATTAATGGCTATTACTAGTATCAATTAAGTTACTTAAGGCTGTTAGAAATATTGTCAAAGGCTTATGTATGTGACATTACTTAATTTGAGAAAAGTAGTAAATGAAAGGTGCGGCAACCTAAAATTCTGATGGGCAACCAAATATTTGCTGGTTCAAAAAAGTATTTCGTACACTGTGTCATGTCTGGACACATTAGGTTGACAGTAAGGTGGGAGGAAAGATTGCAAGGCAACATAACAGGAAGTAGGTAATAATAAAAGGTGTAGGTACATGTAGTTCCATAGCCTTTTTTAATGTGAGTTTGTAGGACAAATTTGATGAAAATATTAATACATGTAATTTTTAAATGTAAACCATTTTCTGCCTTGTAGGATCTGTTTTCTGATCACAGTGACTTGGACATCAGGTACAACCTCCTGGACTGCCATGTCAGCGTGTGCTCACCACAGGTTCCACAGCTTTTTGCTGACAACTTTGACTACCAAACTCGCAACGACTTTGTACGAGGAATTCTAGTCCATGAAGAGGCAAGTGTTATATACATACATGATTGTTGTTCTATTTAATGATGTGTAACGTACGTAGAGGTACCTAATATTGTGAAGACCCTAATACATGACTTTTATTATTGTATTACCTACTTTGCGACATGCACATGTCCTAATGGATAAAGAATTATTCTATGATTATGATCTTTAGCCATACATGTCTCTTCTTCGTAAAAGACAGTGAAAGATATGGCATATTTAACATTCTCATGAAAATTTATTTGTGTTGGTAGGAGTCAAGATAAAATTAGAAACAGATCCAACACCAGTAACTATGTCTAACTCAAAAAAACACAGCTTCTGAGTTTATCATATGATCCACTCCTTCCTGTTTGAAAGGTTTGACTCACTTTAACCGAATTATACATGTAGCTGACCATTTCATATGGTGACGAGGGACATGTAGTTAAAAATTTCTCCAATTGCTATAATGTAAAAAAAAAGCGTGTCTTCGAATTCCTCCTTTGAAAGAGACACAGTTTGTTGTCTTGCTGCAAGTTAAAGCCTACATCCAGGGCCTTCCCCCAGCAACCTTGCCCCCAAAGTCAGCTGATACTTTGGAACAGTCTGACCAGATTTAGGCCACTCTTACCTTTCTATTCTTACTAGTAATCAAATTTGAGTTAACTTTGAGTCAAATTCGACCCCTAACACTGCTGACTTACTCCCAACCACCAACCAAACATGGCCAAATCTCCGGATCCTGTTCACACCCAAGTGTTTTAAATATTTTAACACTAGCTGACCTTGCTAAACACCAACTACATTTTGTGACCTCCCGACCTACTCCTTAATGGTGCACACCCCAGTTCTTCCGCGACAGGGGTCCGCGATAGTCCGTTGTAAAAAAGTGACGAAAGGGTTTTGAGGGTCCAAGTTTGAGGGGACATTTCTTATAAACTGCCACAAAGTATGATTAAACATTAACATGGCTGAAGAGTGTAAGAAATGGTGATTTTGGGGTGAAAATTTCTTTTGGCTCCGAACCTTACTTCCGGGTATCCTTGCGCGCCCGTTTGACCTAGTTTTCGCTCTGCGGCTTCATAGGGGTGGATTTGCAACCCCTCGCGCCGTGGACTGTTTAGAAAATTACAGTACTAGAATTTTCTTTATAATTTACTCGGGTATAGTCAAGGCTTGGGTCCTTCTGCCAGCATCAGTCATTTCTGCCGGAAAATTTTTTTTTGTGCCACAGTGGGATTATCCTACGCGAAAATTCGCAATTCTGGGCATTAATTTTGGAGTGAAAATAATGTTTTTTCCGTTGATTTTACCAAACTTAAAAAGGTTGAAGAAACCAAACTCAGCTTGTCTTGAAGCTGAAGAGATATCCTTTCGTCCCATATACAGTTATTCTCCTTCCGAATTATTCCACGCCAGAGACGGTCGCTAGATTTGAGGGTGTGCAGCTTCGAATAGAGGCCCCAAATAAACTGGGGTGTGCCCCCTTTAACAGGTCCGTCCTTCAAAAAATATTAGCTATGGCAGCCAACAAATTGCATTTCATCCAGTAAAGTGTGTATTCTTTACCCAATCATGGCGAAAAAATTTTGGATTTTGCAAGTTTTAATATGATTATAGAATGTCATATAATGCGCTGATTTGCCCCACGTCCCCCCCCCCTGAACACGGTCAAACCGGCTTCGAAGTGTGTCTACTAAAGATCGATGACGTCATATCTACCGCGATTTCATTATTTGCATTGCCCTATGCCTGGGGCACCTGGAAACTGCGTATGTACGTGTGCCAGGCGCTCCTGCATTAAGGAGGAGACGTTTTTAATTAAAAAAGGCCATGATGACGTCATTCCCCTACTTTCCTGTCAAATCTAGTTTCAAGTTCGGCCTATCACGAGATTTCAACTTTCAGACAAATAAGTTGCAATAATCCGAAGATACATCCTCCTGCTTTTATATCTCATCGAGACTGACACCAAACTGTACAGGCTTCTCTCAGCAGATGGCCATTTATACCGTCCTAGCTGCTAGAAGGACGCCACAGGCCTACAATCTAACCAAATATCCAACATTAAGCTTCGTTTTCCTGCAAAACAAAATGAATCTCCGCAGCGGAAACACTTGGGTAAGATCTCATGGTTTGTTCTCTACCGGGTATGACCAAAAATTTTAATATCAACTGCTTCCTGTCAACGTACAGAACTTAAAACCATAGCGATCTCACTTTAAAAGTTCGGCTAGAGGAGGGCGTCATCAGCTAAACTACATTCTGGGTGGTTTATACCGTTTATTTCAGTCAGAACTAGAAGGAAAACCTACTCCATCGCAAGAACAGCCCTCTAGCATTCCTTTACATGGCAAAATCTGTTTATTTGGCATGGTTTAATGCGCTAAAGCCCGTTCCAAAGGAACGGCCCATTGTGACGTAATTCCCATTATGTGCGTGAATGGAACACACCCGTGGAAGCGCAAAATGAGCCTCCCGACAGGGTAACTTTCAACCACCTGTTACTCGGGAAGGAAAAGTCGCAGAAAACTCAAACTTGGCACGATGATAGACTATGACATAGTTAATTAAAAAACAATGTTAATTAAAATTTGGCTTAATTAACAGTGCACACCCCAGTTCTTCCGCGACAGGGGTCTGCGATAGTCCGTTGTAAAAAAGTGACGAAAGGGTTTTGAGGGTCCAAGTTTGAGGGGACATTTCTTATAAACTGCCACAAAGTATGATTAAACATTAACATGGCTGAAGAGTGTAAGAAATGGTGATTTTGGGGTGAAAATTTCTTTTGGCTCCGAACCTTACTTCCGGGTATCCTTGCGCGCCAAGTGTAATCCGCCCGTTTGACCTAGTTTTCGCTCTGCGGCTTCATAGGGGTGGATTTGCAACCCCTCGCGCCGTGGACTGTTTAGAAAATTACAGTACTAGAATTTTCTTTATAATTTCCTCGGGTATAGTCAAGGCTTGGGTCTTTCTGCCAACATCAGTCATTTCTGCCGGAAAATTTTTTTTTGTGGGATTATCCTACGCGAAAATTCGCAATTTCGGGCATTAACTTTGGAGTGAAAATAATGTTTTTTCCGTTGATTTTACCAAACTTAAAAAGGTTGAAGAAACCAACTCAGCTTGTCTTGTAGCTGAAGAGATATCCTTTCGTCCCATATACAGTTATTCTCCTTCCGAATTATTCCACGCCAGAGACGGTCGCTAGATTTGAGGGTGTGCAGCTTCGAATAGAGGCCCCAAATAAACTGGGGTGTGCCCCCTTAAACATGATTAGTTTGACCAGTGTTTGGGAGGCTACAATGTATATTCAACTATGTGTGACAGGAGCTTGTAAATGAAATACTTCTTTTTATATTGCTATATCAAGCTTGGATACATGTATCCCTGTGAGACTGTCATGCATGAAGACACAGGGCTCAAAATACTGAGTGCATGACTTTTGTGCACCAAATTTTTGAGCTATGCACCTATTTTTGACTGGCCATGGGTTTACCACTAGTACTGCACCTAGTATACAGAATATCAGAAAAGCCTTTTAACCTTTGTTTTACTTCGATTGTTGTATTAGTACTATTACTGTCTTGACTTAAAATTTTCAAGTTAGCTGTATAATTCAAGGCAGTACGGTTTGTAAAATATACATTCTGCTGCCGACATTCTACTTTATATCATGTTGTGAAAATGTTTTACAAGTGCTCCAAACTTTTCAGCTCAGGTGCACCTGTTCCCAAAAATGAATTTCGAGCCCCGAAACAGGAAACTGACATCCTCTGACTGTTCCTGATATATCGTAGATCATGGGGAACCAGGTCCACGCTCATGTGGTGACTGATGAGTATGCAGCCAGGGTGTCCAGCCCACACATGTATGATGCTGTCAGGTAGGAGTTAGGACTGTTGTTGCTGTTGTATTTGTTACCTCTGTGAATTGTGACATTGTGTACATTGTACAACAAGTTAACCTTAGATTTAAGTGAGTTTACTTTATCAAAGGCTATAAGAAGGCAATGAACTTTGTGCAAATTTTACAAATTAAAGTGAAACTTTATTGTATGATATAGGGATTGATATATAGCTTTGATAAATGACAAATACTACCAAAGAAAGAGAGAGAGAGAAAGAAAAAAGAAAGAAAGAAAGAAATTGGGAAAAAGAGAGTGATAAGTAAAATTATCATTAATTGCTCATCCCCTCTTTTTCAATGTTGTTACAAAAAGAAATCTACATCCTATTATACATTTAATATACATGTGTAGATGAATGAATTTAGTCCATTCATGTTGTACATGACTGTGAATCCACTTCATCTAAGTATTTAGTCTATCATTATACTGTATATCAACAGTAAGGACATTCTTCAAAGATGGACATATCCACTGGTGCCGGATAACAGACTGTCTTCCCAGGAACAGGACAGCTCCTACACACTCCATCGCCACCATGTGTACAGGGGCAGGGACGTCTTTTTGGACCAGTAAGGCTCATCTTCAGACTCTCCTTCTATGTAATTTGAGTCCAACATATGCAGGTTAGTGCAGGTAAAATTGGAGCTGTGCAGGTATTTCTGATGTCTACCTGCACCTAACCTGCACTGGTCCATGTACTGGGTATATGCAGGTTAGTGCAGGTAAAATTGGAGCTATGCAGGTATTTCTGATGTCTACATGTAACCTGTACAAATGTACTTAACCTGCACTGGCTGCAGAAAAAGTATTTCGAGCCTTGCTTTGTTAGGTCTGCAATCTACTTCTAGAAAATTCTAGATATTTCTGCCCATATCATGTATACTAGTATTGCACATGTGGTAATGTTGAATTATCACACACTTCCTTTGCTCATTTATAGTGCTCATGAAACCCTTTCCTTTTACAGTGACAGTGTCCTGGAGGAGAATGTGGTGATCGGGCCGGGGACTAGGATCGGCAGTAACACCACCATTAGTAACTCTGTCATCGGCAGGAACTGTGTCATTGGTCAGTGATACCCCGTCATTATATTTCAGTCCATACGATAAGTACGGATGAAAAATTTGGTTTTCAGCGGTGTGTGGCCCAGATCTAAATTCAATCCAGATTGGCATAACTTGTTCACGCAGCTAAATCGTGACCGGCCCCAAATCTAACACATATGGGGACCCATCCTCGATAAGGTAACGCACTCTGATTGGCTGAGTTGACATGGTCTCACAAACAAACAAATACGGGCAATGGGAATCATTCATTCCATCACAGATCACACGAAAGCTCGCTCGTCTGATCACACTCTGGATATTTCTTCTCATGATAAAAAATACTGGTGCTGTAGCAGACACCCTGTGGTGTTGGCTTACATTGTGTAGCAGGACATACATTGTAGCTGGAGGGGCTGGTCACCATATACTAGATATATATATGAATGTGTTTGAGTAAGAATAAACAGAGCAAGTTTAGACTATAATGTTGGATATATTGTAGCTAGACTACATTATAGATGAACATAATATATATGTTTGCATATGTTGTATTTTTATTGACTTTTGGTTGGTTTGCCTTTCCAGGGGACCATGTAAGACTGGAGGGAGTGTACTTGTGGGACAATGTGTCCATTGGTTCAGCTTGTTCACTCACACAGTGTATAGTGTGCAGTGGAGTCACCATTGCTAACGGAGTGGTGGTAGAGCCTTCATGTGTTCTCTCCTTTGATGTAAGAAGATTTTCTTTATCATGAAATTTTGCAGTGATCATTACTATTCCCTCAATATTTTGTATTGAACAAATGTTTGTATGTGCAGGCTGTAGCATACTTGTATTGATGCCAAGCCCTTTGATGTTATTATTATATAATATTATATTATTCTTTCCTTCATAATCTCAGAAATTACTCCTGTGCATGCAAAAAAAGACTACTTACTAAACAACACTATAATGTATACCTGTTGCCCAGCTGCATATTACAACAGATGTATAACAAACAATGTTTTGATACAACTGTTTTAATAGCAAGTTGTAATGGTTTCATGAAGCCTTTATGTTGAGTACAGTGAGTGTAATTCAGGCAACCATGAGTTTGTTGTCTGTACATATAGAATACAACACGGGTTATTCCGTATCGCCTGAGGTATCAGCCTGACCGCACGTTGGATCCGACTCACAGGGGGGCCGGGACCGAGGGCGATGCGGAATACACCGTGTTGTATTTTATTTATGTCATACCCACCCAAGAAAAAGTGCCTTTCAATGCAAGATGAGCCAAAAGTATGTGCCACTAAACCCTAAAATGCAACAACATCAATTCCAACGTCCAAAGTACGGCCCAGTCTGGAACCCGTTATCGAACGTTATCGCGGCCTGGGTATGATATAAATGTAAGTACAGTTTGTATTATCTTCTGAATAAAACATTCACAGACATACGGTAATCAAATTATGTACAATGGTGCAACAGGTTGTGGTGGGTCCTGATGTACAGCTCCCAGCAGGCACCAGGGTTAGTCTCCATCCAAACCAGACACAAGCTGCTGAGGACGACTTTCAGGAGCCAACAGAGACCATCCAACACCACACCTACCAACCGGACAGGATTGGTACTGATGGGAAGGGCTACATCTGGGAACAAGGTAGGGAACATGGGCAGGTACATCTGGGGAGGAGGTAGCTATGGGGTAACATGGATAGGTACATCTGGGGAGGAGGTAGCTATAGGGTAACATGGACAGGTACATCTGGGGAGGAGGTAGCTATAGGGTACATCTGGCAGTGTTCGAAATACCCGTCTGCAGTCTGCAATTTGCAGATAGATTTTCAAGATTGCAGAAGAAAAAATCTTACAATCTGCAATTTTGCAGAAGGAAAAAATAGGCTCCGGATTCAATAGTTTTCAATTAGCAAAGCAGTGGCGCTGTGAATAGATCGAAAACCTGCGCCGCACGAACCTGCCGGCGTTTTCCAGCAGACTGTAATGGTCCCATATAAGGGAATTTGGGGTCAAAGTTGAACGATGGCGACGAAAGGCGACGATAACCAAATATGGGCACTCGCCATTTTCCGATGTTAGATTTCGTCTCCCGGGAGGACCCGACAACTGCCTCGGCAATTTTCGGCAGTTTTCGCTGAGCATTTCCCAGCAGGCAACACGGCAAAGGAAACATGGCTCCTCCGAAAAACCACACTCGCCTCGGCGTTAATTTGCCGAAATTTCGATGTTTTTCCTTGGTATTTTGCACGATTCAAGCAAAGAAAACAAGTTGATCACATGAACAAAAGAGAAATACAGCACTGGGAACCTAATGGTCCGTTTTGTTGGGCGGTAATTTCTCATTTCGAGTGAAAATTTACGTGCATCACATTGTGACCATATGGTGTAAAATCAGTGATTTTCGGCTCGATCCGAACCAAGCACGGCCCGTAGACTTGTCCTTTATGATTTCTCGATGACTATCGGTACCAAAATACGGGAAAATATTGTTGCAAAATGAGAGAGACGGAGACTAAGGTAAACTTCTTTTATTTGAAGGCTGGATTTTCATTTTCCTGGCAGGCTTCTTTGTATGTAGTGATCATCAGTTATTCAGTAACAACAAATATGGATTTTTGTTCCGGTCAAAAAAAACGGTCCACCGACGTTTCTGTTTTTTTGGACCGGACCGATAAAATTTTACGGTCCGAACATATTTAAAAGAGTGATATTTTGAAGAATTTCAGTAATGCTACAGATTTACAAAGCTATACCGTTATATATATATGATGTAAAAATAGGCATTATTGGTTTCAGAAGGTTGTAATATGGGGGCTTGTGTATTTGCAGAAAGTATTTCCAAATTGCAGGACGAAATTTTGACTCTTCTGCAATATTGCAGAGCACTGAAAAAAAGTATTTCGACCACTGTCTGGGGATGTAGCTATAGGGTAACATGGACAGGTACATCTGGGGAGGAGGTAGCTATAGGGTAACATGGACAGGTACATCTGGGGAGGAGGTAGCTATAGGGTTACATGGATGTTTGTTTAATTTGATCTTTTGTAGATGAAGATGAGGACAGTTTGGTGACGTCCATGTGGGGCCTGAGGCTGGACCAGGAGGAGTCCAGCAGTGAGGAGTCTGAGGAGTCTGCTGAGGAAGAAGATGACATGGACCAGGAAACTTCACCACCTCTGGATGACATGAGGATATTCTACACAGAGGTAGAGAGACATACCATCTCATCTACGCCCTAGTTTTTTGCCAGCTGAAGGTTGATCTGAATCCGGTTATAGAGATAGCTTTAACGCACGTAGGTAGGCACGTTGGTATGTTGGAATGGTAGTTGGTACATTGTACCATTCTCACGGCATGCCATGCTTGACTGTTTGTGGTCTTTCATGGAGAAAGCAAATAAAATTGGCAATCTTTAATTCACATTCTTTTTCTCACATACATACATACATAGCAGTCAAGTGCATTTAGTCAATACTGCCACATCAAAATTCTGTATCAGCTCTTAATACACGAAATACACATTGTTTTTTTGTTTGTTTTTTTTTGCAACTGCATAAATTATGTAGATCAGACCAGTTCTTTTAAAAGCTCTCCCGACTTGGTGATGCCCTTAATTCATTTAGTTTTTTTCTGAGGCCGGCCCAGCTTTTTAAAAAGCTTTTCTTGTTACTGTTATCACAGATAATCTAACAACCAATTTTCTCCACCCTTCTCAGTCTACTGTTCTTTTTAGTGTTTCACTCATGATCAATAGTGCCATACTGGTCCATTCTCTGGCTCTGATGTTATCCTCCCATGTTTTCCATTCATGAATTTCACACTTCCCATAATGCCTAGTAAAGATCACGGATATGGATGGGATATGACGTAAGAAGGTGATATACGTAATGCGACTGAGAGTCTTCGGTAGAAGGTAGAACGATAGAAGGAACATCATTTTCTCTAATTCCAACAAAAATGCAATTATGGCATGTGCTTTATACTAGATATAAATAATTCAAAACAATATAGTTGACCAGTTTGTCGATAGAACTTGTTTGAAATATTACATCGAGGAAGGGGGAGGGGGGTGGTGGTCATATGTCATATCCGTGAATTTTACTAGGCATTATGGGAAGTGTGAAATTCATGAATTGCCAACCCCTCTTCTGTCCTCCCTGTACTGTTTCTTGCTGCCCGATGGTTTTGCCCAGGCCTGATGATTATGACACAGGTCCATACCACTTCAGTTTCTGTTCCTTTACTGTGGTCTTTGCACGTACCTTTGCTTTGTTTGACCTGGTTTTGTACCTCTTATTTAATTGAATGTGATCTGCATGTTAGAATATCATAGAGTTAGATGTTCAAAGGTTAGGTGTAACAAGTCACTCGGTGTAATGTAGCCGCTGCCATGCCACATGCCTGGGAATCTGGTGTTACACCAAAGGGTGTTTTGTCCAGCTATACAGAATGATACAGATACATGTGGGGAGGAGGTAGCTACATGTATGTACATGAGGCAGATGTATGTGATCCCTAGAATCTTCTGGAGATATTTCATTTCTGTGGTATACACTCAAAAAGAAAAAAAAAACTGTGGAACATCATAAATTTTCAAGATTTTTCTCCCTTCAGGTGCTGGACAGCATGCAGCGAGCAATTGAAGAGAACATCAATGCAGACAACTTGATCCTAGAGATCAACTCCTCCAAGTATGCGTACAACATCAGCATGCAGGAGCTGAACGTGTGTGTGGTGAGATGTGTGCTGGAGGTGGCTCATCTCAGGGCAACTCTCATGGCTACTGCAGCTGAGTATCTGGCCGCCCTCAAACCTGTAAGCCACTCATCGTCATCATGAAGATGTGTTAATCATCTAGAGTTGTTACCTCCATTAGGCCACACCAATTTAATTTGTTACTTCTTGGATTTTTTCAGAAAACAAATATGAAGAGACAGGGTGAGAAAAAAAAACACGCCAAGGCACCCTAAGATAGCCGGAAATGTTACGATATGAGCCATTAAGTCAACATACAAGGCTGGTTTATAATTAAAACAATAGATGAAGAACTTGTAATGAAACAAAGTTGCATTCACTATTTGTTACATTGTAAAATTTTAACAACTAGGAAGAAAAGGACTTTCTTCAACCGTTGGGGCCAAAATATGTCTTTCATTGAGCATTTTGCAGTTGACTTAGAAGCTAAAAGAATTTTTTTTGTAAATCAGAAAAAAATGGACAGGGCAAATCCGAGAAACAACAAATTAAATTGGTGTGGCCTTAAGGAGGTATTGTTTCCAGTGGCTGTGTTTGTGTTTATGGGTGGACAAGGATGTTTCTGTACTTGGATTGTGAATTATATGTATCTGGTATGTGGGTAGATGTTATGATTTGGGATCCTAAAATAAAGAGATACACATTGTTAATCATCTAGGATTATTACCTCCATTAAGGAGGTATTGTTTTCAGTGGTTGTGTGTGTGTGTTTATGGGTGGAGAAGGATGTTTCTGTACTTGGATTGTGAATTATGCATCTGGTATGTGGGTACTAGATGTTATGACTCCTAAAAAAAAGATACACCTAGGATTGTTACCTTAATTAAGAAGGTATTGTTTTCGATGGCTGTGTTAGTGGGTTTTGAAGCTGTTGCTATCTTTAGATTGTGATAATGTATCTGGTGTGTGAGTAGATGTTATGATTCCTGATTTACACAGTGTTTGTGAGACCGAGCAGCTTTCTGGGACTAGCAGGACTTTAGATTTCATACATTCTTTTCTGGATGTACTGTGGTCTGTGATTTTTGGTTAGCACAGAGTTTTGGGGAAGAGAAAAGTGATATACATGTAGGTGTAGGTTCCCTGTTTGTGTGTGTGCATGCGTCTGTGTCCACAGTGTGTGTTCATGTATGTGTGTGTGTGTATGTGTGCACGTACGTGTGTGTACAAAATAAAGTATAATGTATGATTGTGCGCGCAAGCACCGCCACGACTCTGGGCACCAACTTGTATAGTCTAAAATACCTTTAAAGTTTGTAAACTATTCATGTTGGCCATGTTAACATCAGTCTATGTCCCCAGCTTCTGCAACCAATGAAGGGTCTCCTGAAGAACTACATCCGTAACTCAGATTCACAACAGGACTGCCTGCTGGCTGTAGAGGTACAGTACATGTGCTACACTAGTACAATGTAGTTTAACTTGAAGTGTTGCTCTTCATTGCATACTCAACTGATTCTTAACTTTTTTTCATCAATCAGTCAGATACTATGTAGCTTCCCAATGTTAAACTTAGTGTAGGAATGAAGTTGTAGTAAATCATGTTACACTTGAAGGAATCGCAAAGTCCAGAAGGGAGTGCTATTTTCCAACAGACATTTTAGGAAGGGAAAACTGCATAATTTAGTTAACAGTTAAGGGTTAATGACCCGCCCCGAAGTGAATATGGTGTGATAAAGCCTTGTCAGTTGCTATAACCACAGAATAAAGCCACCAAGTGAGCGCAGTTATATATAACTGATCATATATAACTGCCATTATATATGCAAGTTTTAAAATGCATTAAATGCAGGACAAACTCCCCAAATGCAATGTACTCTCTAGATCTGAACGATCACGGAATACAACTGGCAACCCCATAACGTTGCAGGCATAATTTTACATGTTTTGTATTCTTTGGTTAGTAATAGCAACAATTTGCCTTTTGGTGTTCTTATAGGCCCTCATTGATGCCCCAAATATTCATGATGAAAACATGGCGTAATCAAATTATCTTTTCAATAAACGTCATTATCAAAATTAAAATCATCTTTCCAATAAAGACAAGTAAGTGTAGATTATGTCGTTAATTAAATCGAAACACGCAGAATGAAACTGGCAGATCACCGCATTAGCCATCCTGATATGATAGATATTACATCTAAATAGATAGCTATATTTTGTGATTCAGAATTTCAGAAGCAACTTGATGGTTTATCCATATTTGATACCTTGGATGCCTTTTTTTAAGGAGTACTTTGGCACCCACCTAAACATCTCTGCAGTTCTGGTGACTTTGCTGAATTTTCTGTACAACGAGGACATTTTAGAAGAAGACAGTATACTGAAGTGGTACAGACATCCAGCACCGTCCAGCTCACTTCCACAGAAGGCACAGCAACAAGTCCGAGCTGCAGTATGTACTCAGCACTGGTCTTTACTGTGGATGCATTATGACATGACAGTTTAGTAGAGTATACATGTATAATGTATATATTCTAAAAAAATACTAAAACTGAATAAATTGAATAATAATTTTGCTTTGTGTTGGTGTTTACAAAACATTGGATTATTTTATATAATCCAAGTTTTTTACAGTCAAGCTGTGAGGCCATTTTATGTTTCCACGATGTGTTTTAGACCAGGATACAGTCCAAACTTTTAGCAAAATTCATAGAACGTGAAACATTCCAAACCATGTAGACCTGCCCTATGCCCAAACCATGTAGACCTGCCCTACATCTCAGTTTTGATCATTGAGCCCACCCTAGCAGATGGCGAGAATGGTGCTGATTTAGACTAAGATACATGTACATGTACTGTATTTAAATTGTACTGTGTTTACATGTACTGTATTTATTGATTTAGACTTAGATACATATTAATATTATTATATTGTATTTAAATTTTCTCAGAACTGCAGAGAGCACTTCTGCCTTTCCTTTTGTATATATATTTTTGTTCAGAGAAGCTTTCCTAATGACTGTTTCTCCCTGCAGGCTGCCAAGTTTATCCAGTGGCTGCAGGAGGCAGAGGAGGAGTCTGAGGAGGACTCGGACTGAACAACTCCAGCTGGAACATTTACACTATGACCCTGTTCACACTCAAAAAATGAGTCATTGAGCATTGGCTGAACATTCACACTATGACCCTGTTCACACTCAAAAATGAGTCATTGAGCATTGGCTGAACATTCACACTATGACCCCGTTCACACTCAAAAAATGAATCAGTTTGAGCATTAAATCCTTTCAGATATTATCTACATCCGAATCGACAAATGCATTACTCTTCGTCGATCAAAATTGCGTCTGCTAAATGAATTGAGGAACAGAATGATATGACATATGACTAGAGCCCACCATGTTGACTATGGAGCCACCGCAACTCTGCGCCATAAACTTGCCAAAGAAAGGAGCAGAAGTCGCATGTACAGTGCTGAATCATAGTGGAAATACAGGGACACCTCTTTGAACATGTTTGCAGTGGTGGATTTAGCTCCCATTGCACAGGGCTGATATTTTACCGGCTGTAACATTTGCAAAAAAGAATCAAAGCCAGCACAAGCGTCTTGAACTATACCACCTCGAAGGGGTTACTTTAGAATCATTTCAGAGAAAATCTATCCAATTTAGAGCGTTCACACTGCAGAAAAGGAATTTGGTTAAATGAATTCTGAAATGAAATTGACGTTCAAACTGAATAATTTTTTTAGAAGTAAACAGGGTCTACAGGTCAAACCCATTGCTCTTATAAAGGTGAAGGGGATATCTAGAGTAGTGTAATAATGGCATAGGAATGAAGTGTCCTGGTTACATAGTACATGCTGATATTTGAAATCCCATAGTGCTTATATAATGTCAATGACCAAGCAACATGCTCAATAATTCTACTCTACAAGCAGATTTTAAGGATATGGCTTAGTCTTAGTGTTGAGTGTGTGAAGTTGTGCAACATTCAGTTCATCTTTCTCACTAATGACTTTCTAGTTCAATGTGCACATTTCCAACTTAACACCAGCTACTAGTGGGATAATAGTACCCAACGCTACAGAATGAGATACATGATTGTAAAAATGCAGAAAATGTTGCAAAACCTATTCATCTGCTTGGAGATTACAATAAATCATCAATAATATCAAAAATGATAACTTCCAGCAGCAGGCATACAGAAATTATTGTGTGTTGAGTTAAGTTTATAGATATGGATAAAGTGACTGAGGGTGTTAGCAGTTTTACACACAATATGCATGGCTGATGGAAGTCTTCATTTAGCGATACTGTTGGGGGGGCAGTGACAGTGCTGTTGTTTGAATTCTTTTCAATGGAAATGATCACACATTGATAGACGTGTTAACTTTATAGAATTATTTTCAACTACCCCAAGCTTATGGTGTGATCATTCACATATCAGAAGGTGTATTTGGGCTGTTCTCAGTTGGACTAAACATGTTTCTCACATGTAAAGAAAACATAAACGTAAATGGCATTTTACATTAGCCTGAATGCCAGATCCACAACATAAGTGTTCTCTTTGTACAATCATGTATGTCATTCAAGCCCATGTTTTCACTAGGGTGATAAGTCTGTTGCACATTGTACAATGTACACATACATGTAGCAAGCAGCTGTATTTTGAGTACTCACTGGTACAAATTAAAAGGACTTAAAACTACTGGTACACCTTTGCCAACAATCATATTCTGTGTTCTTGTTCAGTCAGTCTCTCTTTTAATTCAGTACTAAGTAATACTATATATATATAATGACAGATACTAGTGACCATATGAAAGTCAAACAATTTAATTTTACGCATGAAAAATGTCCAAAGTTCAAGATGCTGTGGAACTTTACTTAATTAGTACTTTACACTACTTTATGTGGTGCTTTTTATTATTTAGTTGCTAGCTTTCTTATTAAGAAAGAAAAGAATGAAGTGATTTAGAATTTTTTAAATTTATTTTCAGGAGTATAATCATGACCATGCTACATGTACATTTGTACATAATTCCAGTAATATACCTAAGTACTATATGACTGGAATTTCATATTTGGAAGATACAGTACAGTTAAACCTGTCCAAGCCGGCCACCCAGGGGACCAAAGAAAAGTGGTCACCTTGGACAGGTGGTCTCCTTAAAGAGGATTGCCTCACAACATGACAGGCATAAATGGTTTCCAAGTTGAGATGTTTTAATGTCAGTTCTATGGCGAATGCATGTGGGAACAATTTACGTCGAACAAAAACATCATCTAGCAGTTAAGGCAAACTGGCTGGTTTCTCCATGATTTCTCATTGTCATCATCAGTAATCAACATGATTGAAAATGATGTGGTCACCATGGGCAGGTATCAGGCCTTGAGTGGATCCAACTCCGTGGTTGAACTGGCCAGGTGGTCACCTTGGACAGGTTGCTTTATGCTTGTGTCAATGGGGAAATTTTTTGGGACTGACAAAAAGCCACCATGGACAGATGGCCTGCTTGAAGAGGTGGTCTCCTCGGCAGGTTTGACTGTATATGAGTAAGTGCTGATGAAGCTGTTCAACCTCATTCCCCATAGATACATGTACATGATATGCAAATTGGGGCATAATTTGGGAGATCAAAATAATTGAATCTATAATATCTTAACCTGCTGATAATGTTAAAGGTAGATGATCGGAATGCAACGTGTGGTTTTGTTCATGTGTACAATGTACATGACTGTATGTTTGCACATGAGTGCGTGTGTGGTCTGTTTTTGTGTGTGTGGTGAGTGTATGTGTAGTTAATTTATGTACATTGTATGTGTAACTTGTACATGTATGTGTGTTCTATTTGTGTAATAACTTTGCATGTGTGTGTGCGTACATGTGTATGTCTGCGTGCACACAAGTGTTTGTACATGCAAGTGACTGAGTGACTGTGTATTTCATGTGTGTCAGGATGTGTGTATACTAAATACATTGTAATACTGAGCTTAAAACCTGAGCCCCTTACTCGTATCTTTGCAGTTAAATATAGATCTGTCACAGCTAAGAGGCATATTATTGTCTTAATTACACATATCACTTACACATAAGACTTGTCTAATAATAAACTCTGACAGTAACGTAACATTACACTATTGTACAATATAGAACAACACATTACAACAGAACAACACATTACAGCACCAGCCATCATTCTATATTATGACAGTTCTGATATTCAGGTTTGTAGACAGTCCAATCTTACCCCTCTCTTCCATGGAAAACCAAAACATCTGGATTGTCTCACTAACATGTAATACTATAATAATATTTTTCCCTCCCTTGAAACCTCAGTCTCCTGTAGCTTATTGTCAGGATAGCTATAATTGTGCATCATTACATATTAGGTGTGTTCCAAACACATATCCTGCCTCCCACATTTTGCATATTTAGTATGTTTTAAATTAGTTTTGTAAGAATTAAAAGTAATCATAGTAGTACAGCCAGTATACAATATTGAACAAGAGAAAAGCCATGGGGAAAACAACCCTTGAAGTCTCATCTATGATAGAAGCCTTGTCTTTTCCTTCCTCCTTCTCCTTGTTCTTAGACTTCTCCAGTTTGTTGTTGTTGAGGACAAAAAATGACAACTTGCTGAGGTTAGTTGGGAGGGGGGAGGCAGTCTGGTCCTTCTCAGAGTTGTCTACCTTCGCTGCATGGTAGGCAGGCTTGCCGGCTAAGTTGGACTTGTTTTCAAGCCGAGGCAGACCTTCAGTCGGTGAAACAGCAGGCTTGGCCTTCGCTTTGGTTAGCTGAGAAAGACAGAATGGCTTAAAACAATCCAGTATGCCTGGCGAGTGCAGGGAGAGACAAACAGACAAAATACCAAACGACAGCAAGTAATAAGTTCAAACACTGGGTGATGAGGGTCCAATAGAACCTTTAAATTGATTTATTACCTTTATCGAGATCGTTCCGAAGGTTATGTGTTAGTTACACCACATATAAGGGTTGGTGATTATTTTGACTCATTATAAAATGTTGAGTTGTTCATATGATATTTGGTAGGTAGGTTAGGGTTGGGATGACAAAGGTCAATTATGGGTAATCTAGCAGCTTTGTATGGTACTGCAGCGAGGTGGTATTGCAGTGGGGTGGTACACCAGGGATGTGTGCCCACATATCGTAAATGGTAGTTTGTAGTAACTAAAGTTTTGTAGTTGTATTACTGCCATACATTGTACCTCGTACGATTGGTGAGCAATAAAGTTCATTCATATCATGGGCCAAAAGAAATTATAGAAAACAATTATAGAAAGCACAATTATAGAAAACACAATTTTATTATAGAAAACACAACAAATGATGAAGGTATGAGATCTTTGACCTCTACTTGAATAACAAGTTCATGTAAAGTAAATGTAGGACTGTGAACATGGAGGATTGATTTCAGAACTAATTTGTCTTAAGCTGGAGGAAATGCTTGAAGTGAGTTTGGCCTACCTTTGCTTTATTTGCATTGTTCATGAGATAGTTGACAACAGCGTACTCAATCAACGCAAGAAAGACGAACGCCTGACATGCCAGGACCCAAACATCAATGGCCCTGACATATGACACCTGCAACAAAAGAACATATTCTTGGTCATGTTAACTTTATACTGCATCAGTCAACTTTCAAACAGCCTTCGTTCAACTTGATAGATGATTCTTAAGAAACACACACATTTGCACCATCTTCCATGAATGCATGATCATTACAAATCATCTGAAGAGAAATTAACAATCTTTTTAGTGGTACAGTGCTGATCTGGTGGCCTGAGTAATCATGATGAGGAGGTGAGTACTTACATGTGGCATCCCCACTACCCTGGTAGCCTGAGTGACCATGGTGAGGAGGTGATTACTTACATGTGGCATCCCCACTACCCTGGTAGCCTGAGTGACCATGGTGAGGAGGTGAGTACTTACATGTGGCATCCCCACTACCCTGGTAGCCTGAGTGACCATTGTGAGCACAGTGGTAATCCCTAATGCCACGCGGGCTGGCACAGCTGCTCGGTTGATCCAGAATGCCACCCACGACAGGCACACGATTGTAACACACGGGATGAAAAGCTCGAAGAGATGAGAAGAGAGAAGGCGCCGGAAGGACAGTGTGATCTCCAGGCTGGTGTAGGTGTTGGCTGTGGCTGGTGGAAAAGAGGAGAAGTGACATCATGAGTTTACTACTGACTGCAACAGATCACAACACTACAAACTGCAGCAGGATAGTAGATAATACTGCAGGTAGAGGATACTGTAATAGGGTACAATGGATAATAACATGGGTACAGGATTGTACTTGTAACTGGTTATGGATTGTAGCAGAATAATTGAAATTTTCTCCACTTCGAGGACAAACGATTCAATATGAGGATGATGGTATCAAGTGGACACACTCAGCTAGTCATCATGGGTGTCCCAAACAAAACATGTATACGTATTACTAAGTTAAGCTTTTCTGGAACAGAAGATATTTGTTGATTGCAAAACCATTGATCTGCTGTTACATCATTATTGCTTCTGCAGATTTTAGATCATCATCTTTGTCATCATGTGATTTATAGTGGTGACAAACTTGGCAAGGTGGTCTAAAGACTTGTGGTTATTATCATAAGGGTTGTTGACTCAGAATTCAAAGGCTCTGGGTTCGAATCCCTGACAGGCATTGTTGTGTCCTTCATGGTAAAGGCATTTTACACCTAGTTCTTCACTTGACAGGTGTAAATGAGTACCTAGCTTTGGTAAGGGATGTAATCTCAGATAGGACATAAAGCCAGAGGTCCCATGTTAAACTTAAAGGAGAGCCTGTGACACCACTCTTATCCAAAAGAGCAGGAGACCTTAATTCCTAGGTTGAGTGGTTCAAACCTTACAGTCTGATCTCAGGTTTCACATCTTGGAGAGGTGATAGTCACCTGTTACTAGTATGTCAATCCTTCCACAAATGTGGTAAATATTGATAAGTAAACCATCCAAAAGTTAAAAATACTTACCATTGGCAGACACTAAGCTACAGATAGCGGTGCGGCGCTTGCATGACCCCACATAGTTCTGACATGCCTCATCATCCTTCGTCTCCAGACCACACATCCACGGCTGGTAGGTACATTCTGTCGAAAAGTAGCTACAGTCCTTTCCTAAGAGATAATATTTCAGTATTTATCTCTATGAAAAATTGACATTTTTTTTGGTGTGTCTGTGTGTGTGTGACTGTGCTTCTGCATGGTCATTATGTTAAGTAAGACTGTCTCAGAGTAAGAATGGCATTATTCACTTCTACATCTGCTAGTGCTCGCTGTTTCTACACTCAGTCTGGTGTTTTCCATTACATGACCTCCTTGACAGCTACCAGGTAATGTTTTCCCTTGCATAATAAAGAAGGGGATTGCAAAAGCAGATTGCTAACATGAGATGTTGCATCAGTAGTTGTGTAGGCAAATGGAGCCATTGTTCATGACAGATTTAATCCATTTAGTTGATGAAAAATGGTGGATGCTGTCTAAAAGCTACTCTAGCTGAACTGTTTTGTTGTGTGTAACCCTTCATATTCTATGTAACTATAATCTCTACGTATGTCTAAAATACCAGGATTGACTTCTTACAATGTTCACATAATGCTACCATCATCCTCAATTATTTTTTGTCATTTAGAAGATCACCAAAAGACTACGTACATTTCTACTAAGATCACAAACCCCACTCATTATGCAGAATGTGGGACTATTCATTATCCACTGCCATCAAAGGAGAAGTCAAACCCCATGATAGCTAAGCGTAGTAGTAGAAGTATAACTTTTTCCAGACAGTTGTTGTCTGTCTTCTATTATTGTATTACACTGAGTAGTATACTTGATTGTAAAAGCAATTAGCCTCCGCGCATGATTTTGCAAATAAAGTTTCATTATATGTAATAAAGCTTTGGTAGCACCACTCTACTATTGCATGTACATGTACCTTCAGCCGTATCAAGAAAGGAGTTTGCAAAGCTTCTTATCTGGACACTGTAGATCTGGAACTGGGAATGGACAGAAGGAAGATCTGTGGTCAGCGGGGCTGATGCTGTCCACTCAAAATTTGGTTCCAGTCGCAGATGTACACCGTTATCTGTGACATAGAAAAAGACTTAGTGTAAAGCCCTTCTGTCATATATTACATGTATGTTGAAAAGAAAATGTAAGTGTAACGGAGCTGCCCCCATCATTATCAGGTATTCGTACTTGATCCAAACACTCAGTGCTAAGTTCTACTATTGCTGCTACCATTTTCTAAAGCCTACATGTGTGGTCATAATACTTCACTTAGTCTACTTATCTATAAATACTGTACTAATTATCCAATACTGAACATATTACATATATCCAATACTTCTGAATAAGCCACCTCAAAGTGCACTACACTGTAGCCATTATACCGAGAAAAGTTGACATTGCACTGCACTTGCACACATGAAACTTTGAACTGGATAATTTATATAGCTTAGTATCCATTTGTTTCAGTCCTTGGGTATTAGCCTTCAACGACTATTTACATATCACATGTGTATATCGTTCATCGGTCACTGTCATAAACTTTAATCTACTTAAACCTCCCGTGATGTCCTCCTAGCAGGTGGGTGTTTTAATACTGGGTTTTGTATTTTAATGACAATGGAAATGCACTTGCCGGTCGCAAAAAAAACGCATTAACAATTCTACGAAACCACAACTAGCCCACTCGCTCAGAGGCCTGTACAGGAGGCTACAATGTGGCTAGAGACTGCTCAACAGTGAGGTGACAGGTTCTCTTACATGCGTGTATTTGGAAAGTACAGTCCTGCCTGTCCATTGGATATGACTGCAGACTCATGGCGCATTTGATTCTCCCCTCATAACTACAGAGAAACAAACTCAACATGTTAGAACGACCCTTCACACAGATTAGCTGCATGCTGATTATGTTAGGAAGCTGGTTGTTTTCAGACATAAGGCCATGTTGATTTAATTATATGGATGACATCCTCCGGGAGCCCCAAAACTGATGCGCGCGTGCGAATAAAAAAAAAATTTTGCAAAAAAAAAAGTTCTTTTAATTATGAAATCTACGTGGTCATGAGGGTTGAGCAAATGGCACAGAATTTGGTTTGGCGAATAATCTAGTCTTCAAGTTCATTTCTTGACAATTTCGTCTTTTTTCGTTTGATTTTGGCATTCTACGACATTGGTATGGTTTTTATTAATTTTTTTGGTAACTTATGGTATATTTTTGCTCATTTTGCAACTGTTTTGTACGATTTACAGTATGGTTGAAAACTTTTTTTTTTTTGGAAACGGCCGAAAATTCATGCGCGCGCGGATGTCATCCATATAATCAAATCAACATGGCCTAAGGGTATTCATGCCCACTTGGTTTGAAATAGCACACGTCCATTCCAGTTGGGTGTATGTACTAATGTGGTACCGGTAATATCAATATTCAATGAAAGCATTTTGTGTGCATTTAAAAATAGGCTGGTGAAATTTTTTATGTCCAACAAGTATCTTCCGAAATCTACACTCACCACAATAATAGTGGTCTTTCTGAACCGTGAAAAAAAGTAATAGATGTTCTTTAGTCCGAAGCATGTGTATTACCCGAGGCATGTGTATTACGAAAGGAGAATATATATGTGAATTACATGTATGTACCTTTTCTTGTAAGCGATTTTTCCATCTGGGAAGATCCATGTAGTGATGGTGTTGTCATCCATGTCGTTACCACTGTCACTCTCACTTAGTACTTCCGTTTCCTGACCAAAGCGGATGTCCGGCGTCCAGAGGTATCTGATGGGGATGGGTGCCAGACCCATGGTCAGTCCGGCCAGTCGGGGGTCTGTCCACTCCAGGGTCATGTCAAATCTTGCTTCAAATTTCTGACCAAGAAGAAAAGTGATTGGACACAATCATATTGGCGGGAAAGTGTCGCTGTAAAAGTCGCTTGAACATCACGACAACACGACGAGTATAATACTCACTGTGACAACTTCTCATACGGTGACGAAACTCACATTGTCTGACGTACTACAAATATATGTGGTTCACCCAGTGTTGACGTCACACTTCAAAGAAGCCACGTGACAAGCTTCACTGGGTCAGTCTACTGAGGAAGACCAGAGTGACTGGTCGAAAGCTCTAGGTGAGAGAACGTTTTGTGTCTGATCGAAAGTTTTAACTTAAAACGTGTGGTTCACTTGTATGATGGTGCCCGTCCTTGGTGCTGAAATGGTTATCGTGAAGGCCCCACAGAGGAATATTTACAAAGGACTTAGGCTGGGCTACTCTTCGTCGTTTTGGTATGTAGGTAGAATAAGTAATACTTAACATAATTAGATTACATTATGCAAATCGCATAATTCAGGATCTAATTTGCATAATCAATGAGGAAATGCTATAAATCTGCTGTGTCCCCATATAGGACGATTCATACTTATATTGACACCATATCTTCACCAGACTATTGTAAATTTTTTCTCATTTTTCGTGGAAATAGGATAGTCATAACAAACTCGTAGTACGTACTACGAATTTTGGATGGTACATTTTTAGATAGCCTGAGTACGTACTACGAATTTTGGATGGTAGATAGCCTGAGTTTCTTATGACTATCCTATTTAATTTGCACGAAAAATGAGAAACATTTACAATAGTCTGGTGAGGTTATGGTGTCGTGAAACTCTTGTTTTGTAAGTTGTGTGTGATGTTTACCGATAGTCCCGTCATGCTGACTAAATTCCACCTACCATGGAGGTCTCCGACAGGGAGCCGATATCACTGAGTCGCACTCCGCATGACACGCCTGTCCAGCGTTCTGTCAGGGCATGAGAGTAACAATGCCTCTGATTTCTCATCACAAGTAATTATAACAAACTATGAATTAGTTAAGTTGCCAAAATATTGGTTGGTATCGAAAACAAGGACATGAAAATGACACAGACGTTACACGGAGGCTGTCATTCGATGGTTTGCTAACTATTCTGGCGTGAGATTTCGTCTACTAGCGAATGTCTGTCTACTGTTTTTCAGCTACCCATTGGAGTCTACTAGAGATTACTGGAAGTATTCAGTAATCGTTACTATATATAAAGGACTTTGTTATTTTCTGTGTGAAGTCCTTAAATGACGTTTTTATCCGTCCCTTTACTACAGCTCACGGTTTGAAATTCTTTGTGTCCAAGACATTTCCTACTTACTCATCAGTACATCTTCTTGCTGATTGGCTGTTGGGATAATGTGATCAAACGTACGACAATCAAACAGATACAGGATTGCATGGGAAGGTAATCTCCAAGCAAATACAGGGTGGCATGTAATGCATGGGGAATAGGGAAATTTGGAATGAGGAGAAATAGGTGAAATGTGCTGCATTTGCTCCTGAGCAAATATTGGTCTTTCCAGTTAAATGAGAAATTTTGTCGAAAAGCTAATCTTTATTGCCACTGACAATATATTACAGGTTTCGCGCAGGCTTAGTACGTTCTGCCGACGTGCTGCATCGTAGTCGTCATAATGACGTCATGACCCTCTTGTCATTTATATTTGAACATCCATTAGCCTATTATCCTCAACTAACCCCTAGAAAATGAATCTATAATTGCGTATGGCTGTTAGATAGTTACCATCGTCATTTGGTCGGACAGTTTTGCTGTAGTTCCCCGGAAGTCGGTCTCCTGTCCGGAAGGCTTGCCACGTCTCCCAGTCAGACAGACTCCCGCCGGAATACCTTAGACATGAGATTTTTTAATTTTTTTTTTATATTCCAACATGTAATCACAAGACGTGGTGACGGCACACTCAAGTTTTTTCAACTTATATTAATCCCGCCACCAGCAGAGGGGACAATACAATATTCATTTTTTCACCTGAGCGAAGTGAGGAAAGTCGTGTAAAGTGTCTTTCCCAAGGGCACAAGATCGGTGACATGTCAGGACTCGAACCCGGGACCTCTTGGTTCTGAGTCGAGCACTCTGCCGCTACGCCACACGACCCCACGAAATGAGATCACCGCAATGACCACCGTTCGTACCAATGTTACCAATGTCTTGTTTGACACTTCTAATTAGATCGCTTGTGCTGGTAGACCTCTTTTTACTTAACCAGTGGCAGTACGCATAACAATGGACAAAATAGGTTCGGATGCACCCATATCCGGGCGCTATCTTGTCATGTACGTGCATACACGGGGGATGTGACTGGGATCCCTTATGCTGAGGTCACATTTCCAAACCGGGGCCCGGCCGGGCAGCTTTCGGGAACGAAAAGTACGATATAAAAGTCAACAAAACACAGAACGTTTTTGATGATAATCATGTGCACTATATCTATATGCTCTTCATATGGATTGTATACTATTCACACTGCGTAATCACTGGATCATCCTTAATGAGTTATGGAGCAGTGCCGGAGTCGCGCGATGAAAACAAGTCCCTTCATATCCACTTATTATTATCAGGGTGGGGTGTGGGGGGGAATCAAAAGTGCCTGCTGTGTTCAAGCTGGCTTCAACCTTCCTCCCGCTCACTGCTTCAGGGACCTGTCTCCACCGCACTCCCCGGAGGGCGGATGTTTCCAGTAAATGCACAGAGTGAATGGGCTATCAGCCCCTTATATGGGGTGTGATGATGTCATTGGCGGATTGATCCAATAATTAAGCAGTGAGAAAAGTATACTATTCACACTGCGTAATCACTGGATCATCCTTAATGAGTTATGGAGCAGTGCCTACGTCGCTCCTCTCTTCCGTCTATCCCATCTCATATCCACCTTTTCCTGTCACCTCTTTACTCAAAACCCCATACTCATTCCCACACTAATACCTCCTTTATACCACAAGGCGTATTCTCCTTTAAACAGACCGTCTCAAATATCCTATGTCAGACATGAGGCGATAGATCCCGTTGTACCGTTCATCTTTCTTTCGACCGAATGGACTGAGGCCAATCTCTTTCTTCAGGATCTTAATATTCCCAAATGTTGTGCGCTGTCTGACAAAGATGCATTTGCTATTAGTTGGTTCCCATAATACTACTTCGCATGCCATCGGCTCGGCCTGAGTGTTCCCCGTAGTTTCCATGGAGCCCAGTACTTCTTATCCTTATCTTATCCGACCGACCGTGGAGTCTCTATAAGAACCTGAATTCCTCCCATGATTCTCCCGTACCACGTTCAGCGCTCTCCTTAACATTCGAGTACCTAAGCACTTTCGTGTGCTAATCTCGCGACCATACATCAGTACATACCCGACCATAGCTGTGAAAAATCTTCCTTGAGTGTTGGAGTCGTATACCCTCTCCATTCTACGCAAAACTTTCCAGATATGCGTCTGTTTCACAATGATATCTCGAGCTGCTGAAACGATTCACTTTCCTTCTTCAAATTACCCCAAACTGTGCACCCTCTAGAACAACCACCTCGTTGTCTTCCAAATCGGAAGGTATTGGTTTATCTTTACCGTGCACTGCAGGTCAATCCTCTAACGCAGATGGAAGAGTAATACGAGTCCTTCTGATATGTCAGGAGGCTCTAGGTCACCCGCATAGTCTACCCCCACTCTTGTTGTTAACTCTCTTTGGAGCAAACCCAACTGCTCCCTTTTCTCGTTGATGATACTTTCAATACGATAACAGGAAAGTATCATCATATCGCTCTGCGGCACACTTGCCGATATTTGAAAGGACTTGATGTTTCCTGGGCCCTGACCCCGGTCTATGCCCACAAGGTGCTACGTATACCCTTGACGACACCTGCATATATACCTTCACCGCCTACCCCACATTGAAACCAAACTGCGGGTTTCCCTGACTACCATACTGGTTTGCCTTCGCAAGTAGTGTCGGGTTACAATCCTTACAAACCACCCTAACTTAATCATTCTTCTACCCTCTGTTTTGGCCGCATGACTCGGAGAGATAGCACACCCCTTGAACATTTTTCTTTCTCTAAGCTTCAGTTTCCACCGGAACTTCAGGAAAGCGTTACCCATTGCAAAGGGGTTGCCTGGAACCTTTGTCCCCCCCGTAACACATAGCTGACCACCGAAACCTCCTCAAAATTGCTCGGGAATTGCTCCGTGAGGGAGACATGACCACTTAAAATCTTTCTCGTACAAGCCTTTCGTCCAACCTATTTTCCTAACCTAAAGTATCTATACCTCCCCATTCTTAATCTGCCCCACGTGCTTGATTCAAGCTTGGAGCTCTTGATCGCAATTTGAGTACAACAGTCGCTTTTCCCTGCCTAAACCTGTGATTATCACCCCGAAAAGAAGACTACTTCGATTGAGTCCTTTCTGATCCTCTGCCCATGTACATATGTACACCTCTCTCGCCGATCTTTCCTTTGTCACGTGGAACTTGTACGAGTGATCACCGAGGCCAGGATTTCCGGTCTCACGGTACCAGACCCATAGATTACCTTCTGAAAAGATTTTGCTTCAACCTCGTCTTTGTCCACCCACGTCCTTTCACACGATGAATGACTCGTTCTTCAGCTGTTTGAGATGTTCTCACTTTATACTAGATTCGAGCGCCACCGTTTTCTTCTCTACACTCCCTGGGTCTCGAATGCATATTTTCACCTACTGACAGCAAACAAAAGTGACTGCGGGTCGTTCATTTCCACTTGAGCACTTAATGACTCCTTGTTAGCTTTGGAACAATCCTCCAAGTCAATGATTGGCGACTCCTTCTTTGCTCTATTACCGTAGAGTCGACGTTGACCAATGGCCTTGTTACATTCCCCATGACCTTTGACACGGCTCGGCTTCCTTTAATAACGCCCTGTCCCGATCTGATAATTCTCTATCCGGTCGCCAGGAATATCACCAGTAAAATTCACTGAGAACTAGTTCACTGGGAACTTCAACCTTCCCAATCCGTCACAGTTTACAGATGTAGCATCGTTGCATACTCCCTTATCTAACCGTAGTTCCCGTACCTTGTTACCATGTATTATCCAAGACACTCGGTGCACTTTATTCTCGAAATCAGCGGCTGCAAGGGAAACCCACTGCACCAATTTATTCTGTCACCTTTATTAAACCACCCTTTGGTCGTGCCATTTCCACCCTAAAACAATCCCCTCACTAATTCCCGTTAAAATACGGTGTGGGAGACGGGCGCATCTGAGAATGGCGTTGCTGGTCACTTAACTTGCCTCTCTATGAGTGCTTGGACTAGCATGTGTCAACCACTCCCTTGAGGAAATTCAGCAAAATTACACCTGCACGACTTAACTTCTATAAAGCTTGCCGTGTGCACGTGCCTTCATACTCGGTCACCCTTCGGTGTGTGCTCGCACTAACAGGTGCTAACGAAATTTCAATCATCTAGAGCTCGCTCGAACCACTACATAGTGGACATCGTCTAAGTGACTCTAACCAACATCGACCCGCCTTAAGACCTGCATGAAGTTCATATCCTGCGTGTTTCCTCTCAAGTGGCCACATCTCCTACTACTTACACTGACGTGCACTATCCCGGGTTCTGAACCCCTCGTGAAGTGTGTTACCAATCTGTGTCCCCAGTCTATGTTCGTGCTGAACGTGTTAAAGAATACCAACTGGTCATGAGACAATGATGACCATTACGCACACAAACGTAATCTTTGTAATGGTCGAGAGATGCGTTGACGCTCATCTGTCCCCCAGTAAGCCTGTACGTTACACTGCCTCCACGTTACCCAACCACGCACACTGGCGAACACAACATGCCCGACACGTATTCTTTCAGGCTCGCCGTATGAACATCCCCGTTAACACGAGGTGCGGGTCACTTCACCTAAGACTAAGATGAACACAACCTGTCCGACATAAAACACGCAGCGCTCGTCATGTACGCTACCGCCCAACTATCCACGTTGTAAATTAAGATTGTCTCTAAACTAGGCGAGACCTATGATATTGATCTAGCCCTTCCGGCTAAATATGGCTAGCCATACAACCTAATCCCCAGCCTTATCTTGGTGCCTTTCTAGGTGCTACCTATCACTCCGAGGAGGACCTCGTTGCACGACTTGGCTCTTATAATACTCCACATGTGTATTATCGCTCAACTGTCCACCGTCAACAAGTTGTGCCAGACGCACGAGTAAAACTCGACTGCCATAAGGTGTCCGTTGTAACACCTGCGTCTCTCATTCTGTCTCTCGCCCCAAACATCCGCGAGTGGTCGGCATTCATGTGATCAGATAATTGACCAAGGGCCACGTCAAGCATGACGTCCTGACGTAACTTCTGTAACATTCGCCATGCGTTGCTGCCCGACTGCCCAGTAACTACCAGTACTGTTCAAGCAAACGTGCCGAAGAAAACCTAAAGGGCAACGGCGAAAACGTGCGCAACGATGACACTTACACCACTCGTCATAAGCGTTGCCGCTCACCAGCCCTAAATGAACAAGTGTCTACCCGAAACGTGCGAAAGACCGGTGCCACTTCATCAATAACCTCGAGGACCACAACATGTCCAATGTCATACCATATCTGTCATCTTGCGTGCTACTGTTCTGCCAGCCAGTGTTCTCAGACCACTACACTGCGCACATCATGTACGAGGTGGGACCTTCACTGCTCTTTGTGTGTTGCCGCTCATCGACCGCTTATCCAGCGTTTGCATAACCGCTGCCAAGGATCCTAACCCGGGGACAACGATGCACCCAGCGTGCCAAACGTATAAGTCCCACCGCTCGTCGTGTTGACGCTTGTCGTATCCACCACCCGTGTGTGTACACCCAAGAAACGTGCCAAAGCCCACTCGTGTAGGCACAACGCCAAATATCCCATGCACGACGTCGCGACGTAAGTCTATGTGTGTTATCACTTGACTGTTCGCCCACGAGTGTACGCCCAACACCGTGCCAGAGACGACTCAGACAGGGACAGTGATAAAACCGCGAGCACGACGTAAAGACTACAACGTAACGCTCGTCATGCGTGTTACTACTTGACCGTCCCTTCATGAATATACGCACCAAGCCGCGCCAAAGACCACTCAAACAGGGACAGTGACACGCCACATGCACGACGTAAAGACCACAACGTAACGCTCGTCAAGCGTGTTATCACTTTACTATCCATTCGTGAATGTACGCACCAATCCGTGTCAGAGACCCCTCAAACAGGGACAGTGACAAACACCATATATACGACTTAAAGGTCACACCGCTTGCCATGTGTGTTACCGCTCGACCATCCTCACCCGAGTGAACGCCCAAACCGGGCCAAAGAACACTCAAGCAGGGACGGTGACGAACACAACATGCACGACGAAAAGATCACACCGCTCGCCATGTGTGTTACCGCTCGACTGCCCCTACCCGAGTGTACCAAATAACACTCAAACAGGGACAGTGAAGAACACAACATGCACGACGAAAGGTCACACCGCTCGTGATGTATGTTGCCGCTCGACTGCCCTACCCGAGTGTACCAAAGAACACTCACTCAGGGACAGTGACGAACACAACATGCACGACGGAAAGATCACACCGCTCGTGATGTGTGTTACCGCTCGACTGCCCCTACCCGAAT